GAGAAGCCGTTCCGCTGCCACCTGTGCCCCTTCGCCTCTGCGTACGTGCGCCACCTGGAGGCGCACACGCACTCGCACACGGGGGAGAAACCCTACAAGTGCAACCTCTGCTCCTTCCGCTGCGGCGACCGCAGCAACCTGTCGCACCACCGGCGCCGTCGCCACGAGGCTTCGGGGTCGGCGCCGTGGGGTCTCCGGGGAGGAGGAGGAGGCCGGGGCCGGATGGCGCCGGGGCAGCCGGGGCTGGGCTCGGTGGCGTTCGTCCACAGGACCCACCACAGCACAGCGGCGACGTCGGCGCCGCATTCACCGCAGATCGCCGTGTGCCATCGAATCGCCGGCCACGGTGGAGGGCAGTGGGCTGGCACCAAGTGCACCAGAAGCGTTTTGAACGTGGCGAGTGTGAGTTGCACGTCCGACGCCGTGGGGACATTTGGCAGTGGCGATTTAACCCCTGACCTGCGACGTGACGGTTTGATTTCAGATGGTGGAGCTGCTGCTGCTGCTGCCCATCTGTTGGAAGGGCGTCCGCTTGGCCAGCCATCCATGTCTGTGGAACACATCTCCGGTTTGGGGTTGGAAGTGGATTGCGGGTCTCGTGCAGTGCGAATCGAGGAATGTAGCCAGAAAGTGATATGTTGGAAGACTGGCAGGATCATTGATGAGGTGGGCTATGAAAAGGATTATGGAATTATTAACAGTGACACTGAAGAGCACATTCAGGGATACAGCACTGATGATTTGGCATCGCGAAAGAAAGATAAGCAAACACAAAGAAATTCACACAACCTGGAGGCACTGTCCAAAAGCCCCGTGATTGCATCCACTTACAGCCTTACTCAGCATTCCCCGAATCAATCCCGCCCAGAAAAGCAACCACAGCATCAAACACACAGACAGCCACGTTGCCACTCACAATCCTGCTCGCCCCACACATCTTCATCATACGCAGGCAAGATGGAGCCAGCGGAGAATGGCAGCGAGTGCTCAGCATCATCGCACAGGCCATCGAGCGACAGGGAAATTAGCAGAAAAGGCAACACGCCGAGGAGTCGCAGCAGCAGCAGTAGCAGCAGCAGCAGCAGCGGTGCAGTCATCCTGCCTGTGCCCCACGTGTCCAGAGCCCTCCTTACAAACTCCCACTCCTCACTTGGGTTTCCTGGCCCAGGAACTGTAGCCCCAGTGGACGGCCACACGTGCCCACACTGTGGCATATGGTTCCCGGACAATGTGCTCTTCACCATTCACATGGGCTGCCACGGTCACGACAACCCGTTCTGGTGCAACTTGTGCGGGCGGCGCTGTCACGACCGCTACGACTTCAACTGCCACTTTGCACTTGGGCAGCACAGGCGGTGAGTGGAGGTCGCACGCGCCCCGCACTGGGGGGAGCGATGGCAAGGGACCTGGGCAAGCACCCAGGTTGTGAATAATCACCTGCTTTCTCCAGTCCAACGCAAGAACCTCCCCAGCTTCAACCTTCCCAGTAAAGCAATGGCCAATGCTGATTCGCATCTGAACATCTCGAGTTACGGAGGCATGGTGCCACAGTGGCAAGACCTGTCCCTTCCAGCAAAAAGTACCTGGGTTTGATTCATGACTGGTGCCTTTCTGTGTGGAGTTTGTATTTCCCACTGTTCTGCATGGGTTTCCTCTGATTTCTCCAGTTTCCTCACATAGCTACAAATATACACAATGCAACTGATATTGGCCGAACATCCAAATGCTGAAAAATTACTTGCAAATTACTCAATTTGGGTTACACACCGCGACATCGCCCCCTACTGCAAAATAACGTGGCAGGAGCCTTCTGGAAAAAAAGTATCTTGAGGCTTTTCCCCCAAGATCATTCAACGAGAGAACTGAAGCCATTCACTCAGCCCTGCTCAAGCCATTGACTGGCTCGCTAATACAACTCTAATCAACATTAAAAATTGTGACATGAAGATGTTGTCCAAAGCATATGGTCATGACCAGGGGTCGGTAAGAAAAACCCTCAATATTTCAAGAGCCACAATGCATGTGAAAACGAGACGGTGGCCCTTAATAAGTAACGGTCGTTTTGCGAACAAATTTATCTCAATTCAAATTGCTTGTGAAAGTGAATTGTCATAGAAAAAAACACTTGTTCAGCGAGACAAGCCTGTATCTATGAATTCGTTTGGAAACCAAAGTGTTATATTTAGCCTTTTCCATGAAATCAAAAATGTGTACATATTAATGTTTCATATATAGCATTGTTATGATATATGCGCATATTCAGATATGTTGCACATTTATATATTAATGCTCATACGATATTGTGGGGTTTTTTTCCACAAAGCAATGACAACAATAATTTAGGGCGTTTGAGGACATGTGGTAAAGTATACCAAGAGGATTACTTCTGCGGAGTTGGAGTGATGAGATCAATGAACAAGAGATAGGCTGTGACATCAAATTACTATGTGGGATGTCGAGGGGAGGTCTTCATCCAGCATGATGGTGATGATGGTTGATAAAGTATGCTTTGTGTGTGACTTGTAAGTTGTGTTTGCAGAACCCCACTGTTAAACATGTATGCTAATGTTTATCATTGTTTGTCCTTCGTTCACCACTGGATGCATTTCTCGCCATGCCATATTCAAGAAAATTATTTGGCCATACTTCACCACACTGGTCGGTGTGGGTTGGTGATTGGGGGTTTTGGGTGCAGGACGGTTTCAAATATTACTTGTCACTGATATTGGCCGTGGCCTGGAATCCAACGCGGGTTGCTGGGTTCATAACACAGTGCACTAACTCCTGTGCCATAACCCCTTGCATGTTTACAACCCCCGAATTTGGCAGAAGACTCCCATTTATTATCCCTGTGATCTAGACATCTGTACGGGAGACCAAACCTCCCCGTATTTTGATATTTTATCATCGCCACCAGCCACCACTCTCCCCGTGTAAACATGTACGTATTCTTACACAAATGTTTTGTTCTGCAGAAAGACTTGAAGCACATCCTTGTCGTTGCAGTAGGGCATAATTGTGCATAATCGTATTGACAAATACAACTTAGATGGGTAATGTTTCGACATGGGCATAGATGGTTCAACTTCTTAAAATTATGCTTGATTTAAAAACAAACCCATTATTATGAGTCACAAATAAAACGAATTCTGAGATTTAAAACATACTCTCAATTGTATTTTGTATAGACTTTCAACCCAGAAAGTACATTGTTAACGTATTTATTGCATGTGTAAATTACTGTCATGATGAATGACAACATTTGTTAGATTTGCTTATTTATGCTTGGCACCAATGGATGTCCACACACTATACAGAGCATCTTTTTTACATTTTACATTCAATCTAAAAAACACATTTATCACATTAACAAAATTACGTAAATTGTCCGCATTAAGTCAGTTGACGTTCATAAAAATCTGCATACGCCAAGAAAGCCATAATAAGAATAGAAATTAATGAAATCCATCAGCCTTATTTAGTTGAATGCTTGCATTACTTATAACCCTGTTTCGTTTGCCATTCAATACAGCACACTGTGTGCCCTGCTCATTATGCTGTGACATTTGACCGGTATATATTTACATTCTATTTCAAAGAGGCTGAAAATACTTATCATGGTCATTATTTTCAAATAATGTCTTCGAAGACCATTATAACCAAATGTATATGTTGAACTTCTTTGGAAACGTACGTAGCCAACCGTGCTTATCGTGATTGCGATGAAGAAATTGAATATTAAACTGTCCAGCAATACTGAAATAAAGTCGCTTACAACAGTATGTCTGTTGATCGATTTAACATGGAATGCAGCAACGGCAAAATAAATCTGCATATTCGTTATCACAATGTCTCATTTATACCACCCTTCCATTGCAGTACATCTTGAGTTGCCAGCACAAAGGGGTATTTGAGGTAAGTGCTCATGAAGGAAGTGATTGGAGACTACTGTAATTACAATATTTTAAAAAATTACAGTACACACAACATATGCAACAAATGGCAACAGTATCGAAAAAGCTAAGCTGTACTTGAGACTATGTTTTTTGTTTACTTCACTTAACTTATTCACATGCTATCTGAAAATGTATTTAACTTAGTCTTCAATTGATTGTGGATGCATACATAATCTCTGGGAAAGCTCTTCCACAAGCTGAGTGCCAAATCGCCAAATTCACATTCATATTGGTCTGCAACATGCAAATTTGCTGAAACGCTCAAAAGAAAGCATTGCATATGCAAAGAAAGTCTGATTGGTTAGATATATGGCGTTGATGGTTATCATGGCAGCTCAAAATTCAACATGGTGGGAATGTTACACTCTAAACCCTGGGAGAGGATTTATAAAAAAAAAACTGGAGCCATCAGTTTTTACCAGGTTAGGTTTTGAAACTTTTGTATTATTCCTCTAAAGTGCATTTTTTTGGTATTCGTAGCCTCGGGAGGTACCAACTCCTTGCCTAGATCTACTACGATATTTCATTAAGGTTTAATATGGGCCACGATTAAATGGGCCACGATTGACTATAATTGCTCAGTCACGCGTTACTCTTGCAAAATGGAAGCCAATAAATTGCAGTGTTTACCATTGGATGTTGTGCAACATTCGAAGAATGCAACCAAGTTCTGTGCATAAAATGTACGCAATTATTTTTGAGCTTTACGTGTGCAAATGTCTTATAAGATGGTGCCTTCACAAAAACTGTGATCAAATGTTCTTAAACAGGCGACCAGTCAAAGACAATGGTGAGAATGAATGTTCACTATGTTGACATTTTACTTCGACATTGATTATTATTCACAAGAGCTCAATATCATATAAAGGAGACCAATTTGCAAAATATAGAGGTGATATATGGAAATGTATGACTTATTTGCGTGGTGTACTCCTTGCTCTTCATCAGACAATTCTGGCATTTCATCTAAACAGAAACAACACGCCCGAGGAGTGTAATGTCCTGCCGGCACCTACAGTATGGTATTGATGCTGCACCCTGCGTCACCGTCACCAAACCGATGCACGGGGCGAAGTTCTCAGCACGCCGCTGAGTCCATGAGATCGCGGATGAACCTGGCGCGATGAATCACTAGCCACGCTTCCAGCTTGGTGCCCAGCATTCTTTTCAGATCCTGCGCGCGCGCGCACACACACACACACAGCACGTCGGTATCTTAAAGCAGCGTTAGCATCTCTCGAAACGCAGAAAGTCGCCAAACGAACATCAGAGAGTCACTAGTTAGACCTCCCTTGCATTTACCACTGCCTCTAAAGTCAAAAATGTCACCAAACCCTTTACCTCTACAGCGATATTGTAGTTATGCGGTACAAACTATGGACCAGACAGTAAACGCATGTAGTCTGCACTCTTTCAACAAACTAATAACAAAACTAAAGACTCTCCTGAATACTCTTTGTTTTTTTCGGTAAAGTCACGTAGGTAAAATAAAATAAATGAAAACAACTAAATTAAATCACGACGTTTCGGAGGCAACACAAGCTTCCGTCTTGAAGACGTCTTGAAGCTTGTGTTGCCTCCGAAACGTCGTGATTTAATTTAGTTGTTTTCATTTATTTTATTTTACCTACGTGACTTCACCGAAAAAACCAAAGAGCATGAATCTTTGCAGTAACGAAAGCTTCACTCTCTCAAGTTGTCTCGTGGCTAGCAGACCTCAATATTGGCATTAGTTCCTGAACATATTGCTACACGCAACAGAACCTCTTATTACAAATAGTATCGAGTGGTCGTGCAGCGGTTCGTGCAATGCGCTATGAATCCGGTGACCCGAATTCGATTCCCAGTCACGGCATACATCAGTGGCAAGTGATATCCGAGCCAGTTCTGGGTCTCTACCAATACACAAATTTGCACTGACCAGCGTGGTGAAGTATAATCAAAAGCCCATGTGATCAACACGCATTGGGAACGCCTTCATCCAGCTGCTGATTGACTATAGTTGATTATTATTAATCATTGTAAACTGATACAATATCTTTGGCACGGCTGGAAGCCCTCCTAATCATACATCATTTTGTTTGCGGTAAATGGCACTAAATTTGTCACTCCCAGTGGTTGTTTTGACAAAAAAAATAGTCACGAGGGGAAACACAAAAATAGTGATAAAATCGCAGTTGGCAAGACTGGCATTAACAACATCAGCACAGTGGCTTCAGTGTGTAAAGCAACGCTTTGGAAGCGGGGCTGGTTGGTTTGTTTTGAATTCATCGTGCACAGAGGGCTGTGAGGCAGCCGGTAGCTGGCAGTGAAGCAAACAGGTCGCTGAGCTTCATATATTTTTTTAATTAATACTAGTATGAATACAGTGTGCGTGTGTTTGTTTTCCGGGTGCTTCCGTTATCTTTCCACATGCAAAATACTTATTTAGGAACGAGGATATAATCCCATTGTGGTCGTCAACATTATGAATATCTCTCTTTGTATGACGGTCACATCAGCGGAAATGTATGTTCAGTGACCTCAGACAAGAGGCTCACTGCATTTGTTCAGCAAATGCTGGTGTTTTACATAATGCACGAAAGCCGGTTCACTTGTACACGTGTTTTTGTCACGTGTTGTGCGACATCTTAGAGTGGGGATTTCTACAAGAAGAAAAAACAAAACCCAAACCCACCAAGACTCGGCGAGATTTATTTGGATATTTGACTAGACATGTTTTTTTAGCAAAGAGTTCATTTCATATGAATACACCCACGTGTTACCATCCTAGAAGTTCACCCGCAAGCAGAAGAGCACTGGCGAACGGAGTGCAAGAACGCGAACGTCCAGAATAAACACCACATTCGAGACCCAAACATCGCACCTCCTGCCTTCGACATTCCTCCTCAAAGACACCGGTGGTGTAACCATCAACTGCATCAGAACATCAACAGGCCGATGCGCACATCTCTTTCATGAATGGAAAATTAGAGAGAGTGGTGCGACTGTGGCCATGCACACCACAACTATGGACCATATAGTGAACTACTTTTACATCTCCTGTAGTTAGCAGACGTCAACATTGGCATTTAACTCCTGAACAGATTGCGATATGCAATAGCATTACAAATGCAGTCTCAACACGTCTGTTCTATTTACTCGGTAAACATGAAACATCAGTACAACGTTAGCCCAACGGTTCCAACCACATGCCGTTGTTTACTGGGTAAGCATGTTGCACGTGTACAGCACTTAAGTGAAGTAATTTAAACCACAGGACGGCAAAACCTCTAGAAGCCGGAATAATCTAAGGGAGAGACGATCATGATGGCAGTGCCCGGCATACTGCTAATAATTAGATAATATATCATTACCGTTAAATTAGATTTACAAGAAATAAAAACTCAACATTTACTTAACATGCAGTAAGTTGATAACAAAATATTCACTGTTAAATTGAGCTTTATAAATCTTTAATCGTGTACGGTACGATTTTATCTGAGTCAATGCCAACACCACAAAGCAGAGGAGGAAGGCCGATTCTTCAACTTAATAAACAAGAGGCTGATTCTTAAACAAACAGAAATAACCCGAAGAGGCTGAATCTCACGGGCGCTATGTTAACATAGAGCTATATATCATATCCCAGTAAACAATGATATATCCCAGTAAACGCTGTGGCAACGTTTGTCCAACGGGTCTAACCACAGTGACAACAACGGTGACCTAACTTTGCATGTTTACTGAAATCGTGGAGCGATAGGGTTATACGTTGGAATGATCCGGTTTATTTTAATCATTTTTCTTCATCTTTCCGGCTCACCCTGAATCCCATCTTAGCCGTGTCTGGCTTAGCGCTGTTTTACTGTATTGCATACAAACATTACGTCAATAAAGTACGAGCGTGTAACTGCGTAGTGTAGGGGTGGGCAAATTTTTTGACTCGCGGGCCACAATGGGTTCTAAAATTTGACAGAGGGGCCGGGCCAGGAACAGATGGATGGAGTGTTTGTGTGAACTAATATAAATGACATGTAAAAATCATTACATGAAAGGATTTGGCCTTTAACAGGTAGCAAAGCATTTATTTGCAAGGCAATTTAACAAATTGCACGAACATGAACAATACAAAAACATGTCGTAACTCCCGGTCAAAGTGCGCCATCTAATGGACAAATGGGGGCATTACATGAGAAAGGTAAAATTTAATTTAATAATAATAATATTTGGACAAGTTCGGCGGGCCGGATTAAAAAGCCCAACGGGCCGTATACGGCCTGGGGGCCGTACTTTGCCCATCTCTGGCATAGTGCGTATGCGATCCATTACGTAATGCACGATTTGAACAAAGACTTAAGAGCCTTTCCAAATACGTCACCACGAATCTGTTTTTCCGTTTTAAACTTTACACGGGTATGACTGCCTATGGGACTTCATCATGACCCAGGAAACATGCTGATATTGAGCTAACCTTGGCATTGGATTTGATGTTTACTAGACAGTTGTTGCCCTCCTTTCACCTGGTCTCCATGGTTCACAAAGGCAAATTGCGAATTAGGAGTGGTTGGTAAAAAGAGGGCGACTTACGCAATAACTGGTGGCTTGCATCGCTGCTCTGGAGCGCAGGATATTGTAGATCGATGTTTGGCTGCTGGGTTGATGATGGCATTGGCCATGATTTATCAATGTGCCACGTGAAGGCTGCATGAGTGATGAAGTCCCACACGCTGTCATAACCAGAATAACGTTTAAAAATGAGTTTCAATCAAGGCTGCAGAAACCTTAAATCTAACTTATCGAACCCAGTTTGCTACCAGCAAATTACCTTCACTTCATTCTTGGGCTTGAGGATGTCAAGAGGGTGTAAATTGACCTCTGTGAGCTGCCAGAAATCTCCAAGCTTCCCGTCAAATGAAATGTCCTCTTGCTTTGTCTTGTTGGCGATCATATTGGGGTTGATGCTCAGAACCTGTCCGGGCAAAAAAAGAAAACGTGACAAGTTTCTCCGCAGGAAAACTGAATGTGGAACACTCTCGCTCCTTGACCCACATGTAGCCCCCTGCAGCTTTGCTCTGTCGTCCATTCCATTCAATCAATGGCAGGGAAAGGACCAGGTCAAAAGCCTCCTCTTATCTATCGATTTGAATGTACTCTGTGATTAAACGATTGTGTCTCCCTAGCCGGCGCATGGCGCTCAACTGATTGAGTAAGTGCAATAGTTTTCACTCAACTGTGCAATTTTGTCTTAGACAAGGCACAGATACAAAGGCCAATGTTAACTTTTTTTTGTAGAATATAGGAGCAAGTGCTGTGAGTGGGCGCTGGTGCGCATGCGCTTGTACACACGTACACTAGAACATACACAATTGTACACACAGCGAAACTCCTCTTTCTCTTTTCTTCGCACTAAATGCTTCCCATTATCTAAGCCGTCATAATTTAGGATAAGAGGAAGTCACCAGAAGTGTCGGCGACATCTTCCTATAAACCGTGTTTATTCGCGCTTTGCCACTCACATAAAAATAGTACATGTGCGGATGAACACGGCTACTCGGAATCGTGCTTAGCACCCCACACCAATTGGATAGGATTCTCACTGTACTGTATAATTATATATTTTACAACAACACTCATGTAAAACTGATTAGTTACAACAAGTTAGTGGTTTCCTGCTGAACCAACTATGAGGCATTGCTCCTCTCCATTTCCCAACACTGATTTAGTGATGGAAATTCTACATTTCTATGGCATGGGGAGAGGCACTATAGATGCTATTGACGTCACAGGAATGAAACTTATTTTGTTAACCCCAGGGGGATGAAGGGCTGAGTGGATCTGCGACCAAAAGTTTATCGAGCGATCTGCAGTTGTGCTCTAGCCACACGATAACTCAGCACACTGCATGGATATTCTGTATCAAGCAAAAGATACGATCACACAAATAAAGTATAATTTACGGCCTTGTTCAAATCAAAATTGGATCAAAGGCTCACCATGTTCATGTTGGTCATATAAGTTGTTCTTACCATACTTCACCGCACTAGTCAGTGCAGGTTGGTGAATGGGGGCCAGGGACCGGTGCAGATATCACTTGCCGCTGTCTTTAGCCACGGCCAGGAATTACCGGTGGCACAGTAGCAAGTTCAGTGCGTGAACATCTGCACTGACCTCTTAATAATACATTTGATGTATTCCTCTCTTTGCTTTGTGTACTGTGGTGACCTTGAGAATTGATGTTTCGGGCTAGCGCTGAGTAATCATGAGAGGGCACTCACAGCTCCTGACGCCTGCTGCTGTGGATGCAGTGCAAAGATGTGCTCACGCTCACCTTTGCTCCCTCCACTCTCAAGTCCCACGGATCATTTTGGCGTTGTCTTTTCAGCTGAATTATCACGGCCTGTGGTACTCTCCGCACAGAAACTGCGACCTTCATTGTGCAAGATTAACAAACAAACATTCACCGTTTAAAATTAAGAAACAACAAGTTGGCCAGATTAAATTGATTCATGACATTTCTGCTAATTTTGTTCAAACCTAAACAATACAATATACTGTACATGTGAAAATGTTATAAACATTCACGATAATGTACAAGATGTCCTATATGCCAGATAGAAGAAATGAAAAATCAAAGATGTGGCCAATGCCTGTATCACACTAATGCACACAATTTTTGTCTGATTTCGGTAGCATAACCTACTTAGTTCTTGGATGGCGAGATTGCCTGGGGATAACCAGGTGTTGTAGCCTTGGGCCACGAGATGGTCAGACACGGAAGTGCATCTTAGTGATGGATTATGAAACTAATGGGGGAGCTTTGATTATGCACACATCACTCCCAACTTCTAAAACCCATTCTGCACAGCGCATGGAGAGGCCACGCTACCTGTCTGGCCTCTTCTATGTGCTGTGAAGAAGGGCCATTGCCCGAAACGTCGCCTATCATATGCTTTTTATTTGTAAAGGCCACACTGTTATTGACAAATGTGAGTTACAACTTTCTGAACCGCCCCTACTGGAAATGTGTGAAAAAGAGCTGTATAGCTCATAGGAGTATTCCAGTATAAATACATCATCTGACCCTGGAGCCACTCATGCATGGCATTGACCAAACATCCCAATGCAGGACCCTCCTGGACAAATGCCGGGTGGCTCAGCGAGGCATTCTTCAGTAAATACAGATTATTATAATAATAATGTGCATGATATTACAGCCTTTTAAATTATAATTTTAATTACTATGCTTAACTTTAAAGTTAATAACAATGTTATAGCAGTCATTATTTATCGCTGCAGTGGACACAAAAGTCATACCTCCTCCTTGATGCACTGGGAAGTAAAACGCTTTATGTCTTCGGCGTTTCTGGGTCTCAGGTCATTCACGGCCAGAATTTCATCACCAAAGTGCAATTCCTTTATTTCTGATGCCTCCCTGATTACCAGAATGCTGCGCACACCCAACAGAGATGTACAGTTCAATACCTGTTTGGCTAGGTTTGAAAAATTGAACAAACTGACGGTGATGTATATCTGTGTCTCTGTGTGTGCATATCTCCGTGTCTGTGTGTGTGTGTGTGGGGAGCGGTGGTGTCGCGGTTAGCGCACTGCACTCTGAACCCGCCGACCCGATTCAATTCCCGCTCACGGCCAACACCAGTGACGATTACCTGAATCTGTCCAGGCCCTCCTCTAAGTCGACTCAAATGAGTACATGGTGCGGTGTGTAAACATCGCCACTGGGGAGATAAAGGTGGCGGGCGTGGTGCTGGCAGTGTCTCTCTGTGTGTGTATCTCCGTGTCTCTGTGTGTATCTCGGTTTTCATCTCCCAGCTGCGTATGGTTCCCCCAGTGCAACCCTCGTTATGGAGGTAATTGGGGTCGTCCATAAATGACGTCACGCGATTTTGGACGATTTTTGACCCCCCCCCCCCCAATCACACGGCGTCAAAAAAGTCAGACCCCCCTCAAATATGACGTCACAAAGTTCTGCCCTCCCCCCCAAAAAAACACATGCTTCAAATCACTTCAAACTATTGCCATTGTAGTGCGTATTTAATGTGGCGCTGCACTCTGATGTTGTAGGAGAAAACATTTATTAAAAAGTCTATTTAATTAAGTAGAACGTGTTGTCTATATTTATTTAAAGTTGCGCATTTTGATTTGACGTCACATTTCTCAACCCCCGCCCCCTCCCTCGTCACACATCGTCACAAATGTCTGACCCCACCCCCCCTAGGTGCGTGACGTCATTTATGGACGGCCCCTATCAACTTACTATAATCTGCCATTGTATTCAGAAAATGACATGTTGTCAAGGACATCACTGCGGTTGACCTTGACAGTGATCAGCTGTGCAGTCTGGTCCTTTTTCATCTGCCTGTGGGACAGAGAAATACAATATTTAGAACGCGTTTTGTGTGTGTGTGTGTAAACGACTTAGCAGTCTCAAGAGCACGGGGCTTTCAGCTGCAGTGAACCAATGATTATGTCGATTCGATGTAATAATGTCTGATGAGACTATCCGTTCAAAATTTAACCCAATAAGAAGTGTCCCCCCCCCCCTCCCCTACTGCCCCCAAAAAAGAAAGGCCTAACAAATAAACAAAAATCATGACGGTCAACATTCTATCAGCGATTGTATATTTGAAAATGTCACGCTTCCCACGGTGTGGTGTCGTGGGTCACGTTGTTTTGTAGAGTGCTAAATGTAAACAACAACACAAATCCATTCTGAAAAGTATAAATGGTGAACAGGGAGCGGGAGAAATGTGGTTAGTGCAGTGTGCAATGAATCCGGGCGACCTGAGTTTATCGGTCAAAACTAACGTCAGCGATAAGTGACATTTGGATCGGTTCTCCTCGGCAACCCCCCCACATCACCAACTCGCATTGCCCATCGTGGTAAAGTAGTTTGGTCAAACAACGCCCCGTGACTAACACGATATGGGGGAGACCTTCATCCACCAGTGGACTGATAAAGGGCTGAAATTAAAACAACGCGCACAAAAAATAATGAACACGTGTCGTGCATCTATTACAGTTTCCTGGTAATTATTTGTGTTTGCTGTTTCGAATCAAAAGTGAAGAGCGTCTCCTGACTCAAAGGATGGAACAACAATGACTGCTGAATGAGGGTCCCCGCAAGCCACGTGTACAAAATTCTTTAGGACGTGTTGTGACGGGCACTGCAGGATCTGACCGTGTCCGTCCAGTGCACACCCAGCTGCATTGGCTTCTAGTTGCCGAACGAATACATTATAAAGTCGCACTCATTACACGCAAAGCGCTTGCCACAAATGAGCCACAATACCATGCTTATCTCGTCAAGGAGCATGAACCATCTCGAGAACTCCGGTCATCCTTGCAGCAGCTTTTGGCTAACCATCGAACAAACATAGTCGCTGCATCGCATGCTTTCAGGTGTGCTTCTTCTGCGGTACGTCTGGAACGCTCTTCCTTCCGATATTATGAAGGAACTGCAGCTATGCACTTTTAAATCTAGATTGAAAACTAATTTATTTAGAACTGCTTTTGTGTTTAGTTTGTTGTCCTTTCCCCCGCACCTCCTATTAGAGCAGTCGGCTATGTACGGTGTGAAAGAAGTTCAACATATATACGTACAACAGTGGTAAACACGCTACTTCACCGCTGAGCCGTGTCACCACCCCATAAATCACCTCACCTGTAGCAGTCGGAAACCTTCCAAGACTGTCCGGGGTCGGTATGCTCAGCAGCAGCACTGGTTTGCATTGGGCTTGACGACTCCTTGTCACTTTCTTTTGGCTGGCCTGCTGCAAACTCCTTATCAATGCTGAGCTTGTCCATTGCCCACAAGATTGATTGGTTGCTTGATTTAGACAGGATGCTGATTTCATTGTCCTTCGTGTCTTCATGGTAGAGTATGGGCTTATAATTGTGAAAAGTAAATCGGAGAAAAGCGTCGTTGTTGTTAATGTTTGCATGGTTTTTACACGATATGACTGTTGGGAACTAGTTCTCTTCCACCATATTTGTCCATGAGCCCAGGATAGATATTTTGCTTGTTGGTACCACCTCAGGTGCCAGAAGTTGAGTGGTTCCAAATTGTTAACGTGACCAACAAAGGTGAATTATGTGATAATGGGTGGGGTTATGAAATAATTGACTCTCATTATCCACATAAATGCATCGGTACTAATCAAGTTTTGCTACCTTAAGTGGTACCAATTTTAGTTCTGGCTCAGAACAAACCGAAGGCTATGCATGTTTGCTTTAGTTATGGCTTTACCGTCACACTGCCATATGTTTCAAGCAACATGCTCACAAATGTGTACACTTTTACATTTGTACATTTTATAATAAACCATCAGCATCGCCAGAAGAACTGTATTGCAGTTAAAATACAGGGTGTTTTTTTTTAAAAGATGGACCCAATTTCAAAACAGTATACTTCACGATGGCAACATGTCACAATTACACACAAAGTTACAAACGGTTTAATGAGTTATCACATTTTACTGACCCATTTTATAAATGCTCTATGTGCCCTCCACCTGCTGTACAGACGATAGTTTAATTCGTCCCAAACGCCTCTCAAAGTGTCTTCTTCCTCTGAAGTCACCGCCGCCGTGATTCTGTTTTTGAGGTCATCCAGATTCGACACGTTTTTTTGTGCTACCATGCTTTTGATATTGGCGGATCAATGCCAAAACGCCTTTGAAACGCAAGCTGCACCGCAATAACGGATTCAGTCTTGCTGAACTGCAGAACGCAAAACGCCCCTTGTGTTGCGGGGTCACCGTCTTGCGAATGACTGAGGCTTGGGGCTATTTGTGCGCTGGGAGAGGCATCTCGCGGTAATCATTTGAAACTCTATGCCCCGCCCTCTCTATGCCCCGCCCTCTCTATGCCCCGCCCCTTTCAAGTGGTAAGAGTTTCATTCAAGGGCAGTTCGTGGTTGCAGAGATATAGCGATTTCAAATCGGGTCTATCTTTTTCAAACACCCTGTATTGTACACGTTTCTGCGATATGTTTGAAAGTTATGGATTTTCAGATTGTGCTATTTTTGCGTTATGATGGGTTTTTCTTATAATTTAAAGATTTGATGACTACCCTATCTGCACCTGACTGCCAACATTCATATAATTGTGCTGAATGTTACATAATTCATACACAGTTCTATGTTTACCGCTAAATCATTAATTTGGCACCTGTACATCGCGATAGCTGTGCTAAATCTCACACATGTTTAGTACATGCGCTGATGCACAGAGTTTAAAACACAATAAATAAACGGGTACATTTTAGAAGTTGAAATCTTTGATACATTGTTTCATGGCATCAAATACTCTTGACATTTCCATAGCCAGACTAAATATCCATTTTAATATTCTTAATATAGCCTGGGGTCTAGAGGTGGTGCCAGTGTGTCTGCGCACAGCACTTCTGAACCCTGTGACCTGAGCTTGCTTCCTGCCTGTGGCTGATGTCAGTGTGGCGAGTGACGTCTGAACTGGCCCCCTTTTTTGGCACCCCTTCACCAACCTGCACTGAGACCAGTGTGGTGAAGTATGGTCAAACACCCAACATGATTGACATGGTGTAGAGAGGCCTCCGTCCAGCAGGTGATTGATAAGGAGCTGAACATTGTTATTTGTATTGTTTGATACTCGAAGACCGCACGTCCCTTGGACGTAACCGTGAGTCCCTCCCTCCACTCAGCAAAACTTTGTTTTTCTAACATAGTATGATACTCCATGAGCTGAAAGACGTATACTGTGTATATTTATACAAACAATGATTATTAGCTCGTAGATCTATATATCTAGGCCGTGTGTATCTCTCTTTCTCAGGACACGCATCACGCACCTCCTATTAGCACGGTTGGCTACAGTGAGGGGAAAAAGTATTTGATCCCCTGCTGATTTTGTACGTTTGCCCACTGACAAAGAAATGATCAGTCTATAATTTTAATGGTAGGTTTATTTGAACAGTGAGAGACAGAATAACAACAACAAAATCCAGAAAAACGCATGTCAAAAATGTTATACATTGATTTGCATTTTAATGAGGGAAATAAGTATTTGACCCCTCTGCAAAACATGACTTAGTACTTGGTGGCAAAACCCTTGTTGGCAATCACAGAGGTCAGACGTTTCTTGTAGTTGGCCACCAGGTTTGCACACATCTCAGGAGGGATTTTGTCCCACTCCTCTTTGCAGATCTTCTCCAAGTCATTAAGGTTTCGAGGCTGACGTTTGGCAACTCGAACCTTCAGCTCCCTCCACAGATTTTCTATGGGATTAAGGGCTGGAGATTGGCTAGGCCACGCCAGGACCTGAATGTGCTTCTTCTTGAGCCACTCCTTTGTTGCCTTTGGCCGTGTGTTTTGGGTCATCGTCATGCTGGAATACCCATCCACGACCCATTTTCAATGCCCTGGCTGAGGGAAGGAGGTTCTCACCCAAGATTTGACGGTAGATGGCCCCGTCCATCGTCCCTTTGATGCGGTGAAGTTGTCCTGTCCCCTTTGTAGAAAAACACCCCCAAAGCATAATGTTTCTACCTCCATGTTTGACGGTGGGGATGGTGTTCTTGGGGTCATAGGCAGCATTCCTCCTCCTCCAAACACGGCGAGTTGAGTTGATGCCAAAGAGCTCCATTTTGGTCTCATCTGACCACAACACTTTCACCCAGTTGTCCTCTGAATCATTCAGATGTTCATTGGCAAACTTCAGACGGGCATGTATATGTGCTTTCTTGAGCAGGGGGACCTTGCGGGCGCTGCAGGATTTCAGTCCTTCACGGCGTAGTGTGTTACCAATTGTTTTATTTGTGACTATGGTCCCAGCTGCCTTGAGATCATTGACAAGATCCTCCCGTGTAGTTCTGGGCTGATTCCTCACCGTTCTCATGATCATTGCAACTCCACGAGGTGAGATCTTGCATGGAGCCCCAGGTCGAGGGAGATTGACAGTTCTTTTGTGTTTCTTCCATTTGCGAATAATCGCACCAGCTGTTGTCACCTTCTCACCAAGCTGCTTGGCAAAGGTCTTGTAGCCCATTCCAGCCTTGTGTGGGTCTACAATCTTGTCCCTGACATCCTTGGAGAGCGTTTTGGTCTTGGCCATGGTGGAGAGTTTCGAATCTGATTGATTGATTGCGTCTGTGGACAGGTGTCTTTTATACAGGTAACAAGCTGAGATTAGGAGCACTCCCTTTAAGAGTGTGCTTCTAATCTCAGCTCGTTACCTGTATAAAAGACACCTGGGAGCCAGAAATCTGATTGAGAGGGGGTCAAATACTTATTTCCCTCATTAAAATGCAAATACATTTATAACATTATTGACATGCGTTTTTCTGGATTTTTTTGTTGTTATTGTGTCTCTCACTGTTCAAATAAACCTACCATTAAAATTATAGACTGATCATTTCTTTGTCAGTGGGCAAACGTACAAAATCAGCAGGGGATAAAATACTTTTTCCCCTCACTGTACGCACTTTGCGTAAGAAATTCAGATTCACTTAAAAGTAAAAAAAAAAACTCATTTACGAAACCTGTTCTGAATTTTGTCATTCATTCATAGAAAACTAATCACACACTATGTGTTTTTTTTGTTACTTTCATTTCCAACTTTGCTGCTGTTGATTCTCCCGCGACTCTACATTGGCCGAAGCCCAAGCCGCCGCTCACGACTCCACCCTGAAGACAAACCGAGCAGCTGCCACGCTCAGCTGGCTCGGCGTAATCAAGCACTCCTGCGAATGTGCGTTGTTGGTCGCGCGGTGTGCGGAGACTTTGTGACACTTACATGGAGCGGCGTACGGACCTCTTTTAGCTTCTGCATCCACTTATCGATGTCCCTCCTGTGAAGCATGTCACAACAAATAGCACTCACTGGGCGAGCGATTGGTAAGTCTGACACAGAGACTGCGACGTGAATGCACCACAAAGCAGACGGTTTTTTTTTCAGAATGGTCTTGCCACGTTGTTGGCTGTACAGGTGATATTGAGCAATTGAGCAAATTTTAAGCGTTGGGATGTTTGGTCAACGCCGGTTACATTGTGTGTGTGTATTGCTTTTTTTGTTTTAGCCATGGGAGGGAAACTGGAGAACTCGGAAGAAACTCATGGAGATCACGGGGGAGAACGTGCAGATGCCAAGCAGAAAAAAAACACCCGAGTTGGGTATTGAACCTAGATCCCTTCTTGCTACGAGTGACAAGTATTATACCACTGCGCCATCCTGCTGCCCATTCCACTATTCAGAGTGAATTTGAGAGAGACGCCGTCTGCCACACAGCAGTGGGGCCAACGTTTTTTTTTTATTGCAGTCAGTAAATAACCACCCTGTTCTACTATATAAAGTGCACGATTGATTTTTGCATATCTCACTTCATCTCACCTACTTGTGGCGGTCGCTGCCCACCACTTTCATTGGCCATGGCTGCTGACATTTAGGCTATGCCCATTTTAAACCTTTATAAGCAGTTGCCTTTAGAAGCTAACCCCTCTTTTCCTGAAGACGACCGCTTGTGTTGTGATCGAAACGTCGATGTTTTTTGTTATTTTTTTTCTGTCTACGTGGCTTTACTGAAAGACCCAAATAATGTGAATTCCTGCAGTCACGAAAGCTTGAAGTCAAGACTTCTCATACATGTTGAACAAAAAGTAAATTTACTTGACCTTTTATTTTTTTTATTTAAAGCTTTCGTGACTGCAGGGATTCATATTCTTGGTTCTTTTGGTAAAGTCACGTAGAAGGGAAACAAATAATACAAATATAAAACAATAAAATTCTCACGACGTTTCGACTGCAACACAAGCAATCATCATCAGGTGTGAAAACCACAACAAGAAAATTTGAAAAAAGTGGCGGTTATTTTTAACGTTAGCACCACGGAGAGAGATTTGACAGTTTGTTCAGATGGACGAGTCCATCTATGTTCGGAAAAGACCGCATCCATATTTTTCGTCTCCCCCCTCTTTTCCGAACATAGATGGACTCGTCCATCTGAACAAACTGTGAAATCTCTCTCCGTGGTGCTAACGTTAAAAATAACCGCCACTTTTTTCAAATTTTCTTGTTGTGGTTTTCACACCTGATGATGATTGCTTGTGTTGCAGTCGAAACGTCGTGAGAATTACATGACCTTACCAATATTGCAAATTATTTTTCTTGCATTATGTATACTAACTTAACGATGCTACATTTGAACATGCATTGCAGGTGCTTAAACAAACAATATACAGTAGAACCTCGGGGATCGAACGCACCAGAACTCGAACAAATCGGTGTTCGAACCATAATTCCGAACATTTTTTCCCCCGGAAACAGAACGAAATTCGGAGGTCGAACGGGGCAATCGCGACTTGAACGGGCAATCACGACTTGAAATAACCTGTACACGGCTGAGACGCGTGGTGGCAGCAGCGTGCATGACACTTGCCCAGACAAAGGGGACTCCCCTTCCAAACAATAACACCACCACCTCATCCTCCTCACCACCTTCCACTCAAGCCATCAACTCTCCATATATTTATTCATTTATTCCAATCATTTATTGTGTTTCTTGTTTTTTGTTGTATGATTGCATGCATGGAATTACTGTAAACTTCGTGTAAAAATGCTTTATAATTAGAGATTTCTTGAGTCTAGAACCAATTAATGTCATTTACATTCATTCTTATGGGGAAAATTAATTCGGTGTTCGAACAAATCGGTGTTCGAATGGCCTTCTGGAACGAATTAAGTTCGATCTCCGGGGTACCACTGTATTCGAATCATAGTCACAAGAACCAGTTTTCAGATAAATATTAATCCACTGTTATACCATATTTCTAATTTAACGTTAATGCTACTTCATATAGCATTATTATCAAGACTGTAAAAGTTATTTCACCCACAGAAGGAATCATCAGTTAGGCATATCAAGCAGCCATACAGAGTTAACGATCAGTTTAACACGTAGGCTTTCGCGACCAATATTATTCATAATTAAGGTTTTTGGGTTAGATCGCGTTATTTATAAATGTGTCGTAACCCTCCACCACTCGACACGGCCAAACAGTAAAAAAAATGTCACGTTGACAAAAGACAAATAGTTCACTACTTTAGCCCACCGGTGAGTTGAAGATTGAATCCACAACATTTACAGTTTGAGTACGACGTTTCGCTGGTAATTACATCCAGCATCATCGGGCAATTCGCCAGAATTATTATGATGAGTTAACGATGCCGAACGTTGTATGGGTGAGGTGCCCACAAGTGAACTGTGAGGCTCCATAAAATTGCAGCAAATTAATGGTCGTGTAATTATGTGATGCTGCCTCAGGAATAGAGTTGCCACCTCTGACGTACAAACACGACCCAGGAATTGCCTCGAGTGGTGTCTCATAACTATAATTATGCAACTGACAAAAACTGGGACTTTTTATGTCACACGAAAGCCTTACAGATTTCCCAAGACAGCTCCGTCAAAAAAACTAAATATTCCTGGAAAACCAAAGAGGTGGCAACCCTACCCAAGAAGCATTATGCATACTTATTTACAGTTTTATTTGAGTTCACATACAACTGGTTTCTTCATAGCTATGTTGGGTCTTTACGAGTACTTTTCCTCCTTACCTGCTGCCAACGAGGAAGTACTGACGCTTGTAGACCTTGAAGAACAACACGGCGTCCCCCGGGTCGTGCAGCATCACGGCCTTTACAACCGACCACTTTGGGTTCTTCTCCGGATTGACTTCTATATCTTCAATGCTGCACATTAATAGCGCAGCACATAATACATCAATGGAGAAATGTTTCCGCGTTGGCAATCTACGTCGAGGTATGAGTGAGAAGGTAATACAGAACGCAGAGGCTTTAGCCTTCATTCTTTTGGTGAGTAATTTGTCCTGCCCAAGGCCACAAATCTTAAATTCTTTGTTCTCTGATCCATGTTTCCTCCTTCTGTATGTATCTCAGTGTAATACTCAGGATGCATCTGTACATGCTTTGTGTACTGTTCATCTTTATTTGTCAATATATGTTAATTAAATCCCCATGTTACAATAATATGCAATGATTGAAAACTTTCTTCTCTCAGCACACCGGTATGCTGTTTATTTTTTTAATGTTCCAAAAGCATGGGCTGCTTGCTCTCGCTCCACTCTCTGTTTTAGTATTTTGGTGTCAGTCTGCCTTAAATAATTATCCTTGAGAAACATACTTTACTTTAAAATAATAAAATATAAAACAATAAAATGCTCACGACGTTTCGACTGCAACACAAGCAATCATCATCAGGTGTGAAAACCACAGCAACAAAATTTGAAAAAAGTGGTGTTTTTTTAACGTTAGCATCACGGAGAGCGATTTGACAGTTTGTTCAGATGGACGAGTCCATCTATGTTCGGAAAAGAGGAGGGGGGAGATGAAAATAATGGATGCGGTCTGAAAGCCACCGTAAGCGTGAACAATCAATTAAGACCTGAAATGGTTTATCAAATCCTTCCAATGATTGCTAAGCCAGAATCCATCTTCTCGGTTGAAATTGTCTCTGTGTTTGTATAGAAAAAGGTAAGAGTGCCGAAACGTTGTGAGAATTTTATTGTTTCCCTTCTACGTTACTTTACCGAAAGAACCAAGAATATGAATTCCTGCAGTCACGAAAGCTTTAAATCAAAAATACTTTACTTTATTGTGCTTTCAATTTGTGTGCCTTAAACAGATATGTTCTGTTTGCTGTTATGTTTAATTCTGGAATTATATATGCGGCACTCTTACCTTTTTCTATTACGATGTTTGCTGTCATGTTATTTGGTTTAACTCGTTGTTTTCATATGCAGTGTTAGAACCTATGCTGTAATTACGAATTTATTTCATTCAGGTCTACCTTGAAATGGATAATTATGGTATCAAAGTGCTCTTTCCAGGTCTTAAAATAAATGAATTCACATTGAAATTCATTCCGCACTGATCAGTCAGGTTGAAACAATTTAAGAATACAGATAATAACAACTGTAATCTCTCCTGAAATAGATCACAAGAATGCACCATTGTGAATTCAACATCGATGTCTGATCCATCGCTGATTCCAAACATGAAGGTGATTGAAACCCATTATGTTCGGATCAAATCACTTGGATCGTATTCAATATTAACTTTCAAATGCCTGTAAACAAAAATACATTTCAGCCACAGCATGCATACACATTGAGGTAAGAAGTATGAGGATGTCAGAATGTTAAATGTCAGGGAAAGTACGCCAAGCCCTTACGTTTCAAAGGTGAATTGTGAAATATTTTACTTTGTTGTCCTGGCTATGACGTTAAACTGCGCCCGATTGTGGCGTCACCCTAATGGACCATTGATACTTTTATTGGAACGCTCGGAAGAAAACACCACAGCCATCGCTCTGTACTTATTGCACAAGAACCATAGAAAGATCAATTGTGTTACGAGGTGAATAGGGGGGGAGGGGGGGGGTGGTGTGATGGATGGAGGGAGATTGTATCTGTATACAAGCAATTGGACTAAAGTAAAATGGTGACTTATCTATGATAACTTTGATAGTGTTGTCTGTTGTTGCTGGACACTTGGTGTTTTGGGCCTTAATGTCTGAGCTCGGCTAATGTGTAAAAAAAAACCTCAGGATCAATGAGGTTTTTTTTTGGGTTAGATCGCGTAAATATATAAATGTGTCGTTAAAACCCGACACAGCCAACTAGTAAGGGTTGTCACGTAAACAGAACGTGGCCAATTCGTCACTAGTACAGCACACCGGTGTGTTGGAGAGCCAAGCCACAACATTTACAATCGGAGTACGATCTAACCCCCACAAAAAACCTCTATTATGGATGATATTGGTTGCGAAAGCCTACGTTTTAAATTCAGGATGATCCTAAAACTAATAAGATTGGCAAATACCGAAATTAATCGCTCGACAGATATATTGTTTTAAATACGTGTCACTAGCTTCAAACTGCAGTCAGGAAAATCAAGGTCTTCTAGAACGTTGCTACAATTTACAGCGTGAGCGATAACATCCAATTCCAGCTTGTCGATCATATCAGCCGTCACGGAATATTTACCATAAATTTAAGTTTGATCACTTCTCAATAAACCCCGAAGTCCATATCAACACCATCTGCCGTAATTAACGCATCTTGTTGTGTGTTTAGACCGACTCAACTGGTTATTGGAGTCCACGAGAGCAGTGTTTTTTTATAGTTTTGCTATACTCGCCGTGTGCACTGCAAACAAATGACTGTGTGAATGTACACAATGCATGGACACAGCCTGGCATTGACGTGTGTCGGCTCCAAACCTTGACATGGAAATGATTCCAAGCGATTGGTTGGTGACGAAGTGGCTTTCGCTCTCGTAATACTCCAGCAAGCACTGATAACCGAAGTCTCGAAGCACAAAGTACCTGTTTTTCCAGCTGCCCTGCATGCAAAGCAGTGTAACACGTGTTACATGTACATCAGCATACGAATCTTGTCTTTTCATAAGGGCATAATCTCTCACCGAATATTTTCCATGTCGCAGGTCGACTGGACTATGCATAGTAGGGGGCACGGCTGGTACATCGGCCAGTCATCTCAGTCAGTCAACCCATGTCACCTGCTGGGTCTGTCCCGTGACCTCCTGCCAGCGGGCGTTCGACACTTCAAGTAGCGTTAAAGGTGCACGTAGCCTGGCACAAGCGTCGTGGTGAAGTCACCCCCCACTTAGTGGCGAATGGCGGTTGTTGTTGGACGAGGCATGTGACAAGCAGCCACAACTTTGCTGAAAGGTATACTGGATGTAATGTGCCGGATGCATAAATATTTCCCCAGGTTACAGACCCGGACAGACCTGGAATCATTTAAGCACGGCGTTAAATACACAAGTTCATTTACTCGGTCATGTGGTCAACCTTGACTGGTCGTTTCATAACGGCGTGTGTCTGTGTGTGTGCCCACATGACCGGGTAAAAGGTAAATGTATTTTGAAAGCCACTGTTTGGTGGTGATTTTGTACATTTTATGCCATGAAGCAGCCTGTATGCAAGATTTATCAGATTGGCAACATCTGCTCTTCAGAGCCCGTTTGAAAATTGTTATTTTTACGATTTAATGTCAACATAGGACAAGATTATGAAAAAAAATATATATATACCGAGGCATATGTGTACGGTTTTGTTCTAAGGAGAGGACAAACTATGGCAAGTACACATTCTCCTGCGGAGGGAGCCGGTAGGAACGTCGGGTTGCTCGGTCAATAGCCAGGGTCAACGGCGGTACCACGTGGTGTATTCCGCAAATGTGCCCGACTGTGAGAACGGGCACAAGCCGGCGTGAGTAGGTTAAACGTTGAGTTTTATAAGGGCACCACGGGGTGACCAGCCCCTCCCCACCCAGCCCCACCCCTCCCACCCCCCACCCAGCCCCACCCCTCCCACCCCCCACCCAGCCCGACCTAGCCCCTCCCCACCCTCCCACACCCAGCCCCTCCCCACCCTCCCCACCCAGCCCCACCCTCCCCACCCAGCCCCTCCCCACCCTCCCCTCTCCACCCAGCCCCACCCCTCCCATTTTTGGATTCACGACTGACGGACACAATAATCCCCTGTGGGCTGGTGGTGTAACCAAGAGGTTCCTACCAGAAAATGAAATTGAATGTCTGTGCAGGGTCAATAAGTTATCATTTTATTTACAGTGCTCATGTAAAAAAAAAGTGCACCGATGTGATTCTTCTTTCTCAGTGAGCATGTGCCCACGATGCATATTACAACCTGAAAAGCTTTCACGCACAGCGTCTTGGCGTGTACTGTGGAGACTTACGCACACCAATGTGTGTCGTAGACCCTCCTCCACCCGACTCGGCTAAATGAATAAAGCTGTCGCGTGAACAGACGCGACAATTTGCGTTGCTTCGGCACACCGGTATGCTGGAGAGGCAAGTCACAAACATTTAACAATTGGGTGCAACTTTTGGCTGGGATTGAGCTCCTGATCGCCTGATGATGCCTGTTGTAACTACCAGCGAAACGTCGTACAGTATGTACCCAAATTGTTCAACGGAGGAGGTATTATAGTCACGCTGACCCTAAACAAAATGAATCATGGCAATGGTCGCGAAAGCGTACGTGTTATGTGTACACACATTTCACAGTGCCTCATACAAAGGGCACAGATCCATCAATAAATCTGTATTTAACGTGCCAATATCGCCCTCACTAAAGTAAAACATCAGTGCAGATTACAGCAGACGCATACTATGGATACACGACATTGGCACGTAAAATAAAGATGTATTGGATCTGTGCCCTTTGTATGAGGCATTTAAATGTGTGTATACATAACACGTTACACTAGTGAGACAAGTGTAACACACATGAGTATATAAAAACTATTTGCTGTGTTTATAAATAGTAACAAATCCATCGCCCGACAGTCTCAGTAAGTGTTAAGCATGCATGTGGTCTGAAGCGATGAATTAATCTATACTGCTCAGAATATTGATGCTGAGCAGTATATTTAATGCTCCAAGGCCCCATCAGTAAGCGATGACATTGGGCACTCACCTTATTTCTGAAGATCATTTGGTCTTGAGGTGGGGACTTCCATAACTTGCCACTCATCAAGATGCTTGGCAAAGCCATCGCTCAAAACGTGTGCAAATAACTGCTGGAGAAAATACGAGTTGATAAAATCCAACACATTATGGAATGATTAAGCATTTTTTTATTAAGGCACCGTGAACATTCCGGCATAATGCATACTATATTAATATTTTGGTCTTGCGTGTTTAGAAGATACATAATTAAATCACATTGTACGCGTTCCTTACCTGAACGTGGTCAATTCACAAGTGTGTTGGTCAAAGCAAAGCAGGAGAAGAGACTTGGCATGTGCGTCACTTAACTTCCTCGTGAAGTCCAGTGGTCATCATATCAGAATGTTGCAAAGCTAGTTTTAAAAGCCCTATTCATCAATACATCTTACCTTATACTTGTCAAGTCAGTCACATGCAATATATTTAACATTAATGTTAATGAGAAACGTGAAGTTAAATATTGCTCGAACACAAAATGTGGATTATCACGTCACGCAATGAGATGGCGGCGGCTTAGAGAGGGTTTCATCTAGCAGTGGATTGATCATGGCTGAAAGATGATCTCAACGTAAAGGTACTTTTTAGGATATCTCAACTTTAAAGACACAACCCAAAAAACTAAAGCGCTCTTGTCGCTAAATACATTATTTGGTGATCCTCTGTTGCAATGGTGCACAAAGCACAAATAACAAAAACAATCAACACATTCGTGAGTAACGCTCTGTGGCCTTAAAAGGGAAAATGAACAACAAATGAGGTCAATAAAGTGTAACCCTGTACACAATGTGATGATTGATAAGGCAAACAACGCAACAAAGGCAATCAGCTTTCAGTATGCAGCACATGGTGCCTCACGCTGGCATTGAGGTGACAACAACAGACGAATAGCAATCTTCTGGGGTATGTGCAGTCGTCGACAGTTTCTCGAACGGCGAAGACAGCAGCTGACGACACAACAGCCAAGCAGCTGGTGACTTGCAAGGTGTGGTCGGGTCTTGACGACGTGAAGGATGACGTTGTTATTCTTTCTTCGTGTCTTCACCATAATTATCCACGGGCTTGTTTTTAAACTCCAGAGTATTAGAATAATAGGTCTGTCGTGGAATGAAAGTTACTTGCCTTTCCCATCGTATTACGTGAACCAACGGTTATTTAAAGTGATTTTGTAGCTCAGCAGTATTCACTTCCGTAGGCTTTTCTCAAATATGCAGGGTTGTACTGCTCTAAATAATACATCTCATGACACAACACCGAGAGGGAAATTTGCATAAAATTTGGCGGGGAGGGGGGGAAGACAAAAAAATCTAAATGAAGAAATGAGTTCAGCACTTCCACTGCTGGATTATATTTTTTCTGCCCGAGGACGACCGCTTGTGTTGCGATGGATACGTCATGATTTATTTTACTTTATACCTTCGTGACTTTACCGAAAGAACCAAAGAGTATGAAGAAATTAGTTGAAGGATTGATGCACCAGGAGACTTTTAATACATGACTGTAGCTAGTTACAAAAGTTCTATGACAGCGCTCCTGCATATCACTTTCAAGTATTTTAGCTCAATTAGGAAGGTTGAAACTCATTGGGCCACCCGAAATACACAGTATCTAAGGTGCCTTCATAGTTTTACGTTGCGTGTTCGATTTGTTGACGAGCTTTAGGCATCATAAAAACAGACTATCACACAATTATCTGCAATCATTCCACAATTGTTTATTGTTGCTCTCCACCCAAAATGATTTTGAATTGAGTATCAAAAATGCATTCCTAGTTAACGTGTCTGCAATAACGAACACTGGATTACATTTTTGGAAGATAATGTATCATTGTTTTTTTATTGTAAATTATCTTTTCTTATTCTAATCAGAATTGAAATTAAATATATGCTATTCCATTAACCTTCAGTACATATTGCAATATATAGTCGAGGTGGTGTAGTGGTGTGAAATACTGTAATATTACAAACCCTGTTGATTAAAAGTGAAAATGCGAAATGCCCCGTTATAAAAGTGTTTTACTGTAGTTGTACAAGTGCAAGCTGGTACACCCTAGAAATGACGGAGTTGTACAAGTGCAAGCTGGCACACTCTAGAAATAACGCCAGACTGCACAAAAGTCTGTGGTTACACAGAACGGAGGACGACTGCACACGACTGAATAGGTATTCCAATTACTGCCATTGGCTCTGCTTGTTCACATCTATGAAATTCAAAAACAAAGCGCATCCACAAGAAATCATAAAATACACCGGCTAATAAAACATTGCTACATTTCCGCCTGTTGTTGTTCTGCACTTCCCCCACCTTCGCCCAACCCAGAATGACCGGTGTGGCGAAGTAGGATCAAATATCTCTCACAACCCGCGGGGCATCGGGAGGCCATCGTCCAGCAATGGATTGACAAAACCGACCCGCGTACATGTACGTGGCTGTGGTGTATCAGACGGACGCTTTCGCGGACATACTGAAGCCCCCTCCTGTGAATCGGGGCATGTCAGTGCGCTGCGGCTGGATGAGAGACGCTCCGGACTCGGCCAGCGCAATTTCACGATCCCGCTGCCTGTTAAGAGAAGCAGCACATCACGCATAGTAAATTGTTGCCTTTGGTGGAATCACAAGGCACGCGCGCAGGTTAGCTGCAGAGCCACGTAAAGACGCATCAATAAATCACTGGATAAATCACCGTCAACAATGTAAGTCCTGTATTCAACATTGACGAATGCCAAAATAGAGATAATGTCCTCCTTCAGAATAAAAAAAATCTCAATGAGTAAATGCGAAAACCCCAAATATCAGCATTCCAAAAAAGACTTGACAATCTGTAAGGTTTTGGTGCGTATATATGGTTTTAATTTATTTTAACACCAGTAACAGTACACACACGCATACACAATGCATACATTGGGAGAGGGAGGTGGGGAGAAAGAGGTTATATATTTTTTAATGTCAGGGTCTCCTTCATAAGCTGCCATCTGGATAATGCTATCTCATCTTTGTTGTCGGCCATGAGCCAGTGGTGGAAATTCCACATTCCCATCATGAGGTCAGAGTCTCCATATGATGACCACTGTTGACTTTCCACAAAGTGGTACTCAATAAAGTAGAATTATATCTTTTGAATATTATCCTAATTCTTACACCTATATGTATATATTTATGCAATAGTAAATTAAATTTTACAAAATATTTCATTTACTATTACAGTGTACGGAATGATTGCATAATTTTTTGTGTACTCACAGTCAAGTGATTCAGCATGCCAATCACACACTCAGACACTGTTAGTACGAGTTTCACACATTGTGAACTATGAAGAGCAATGATGAAAAGGGATTTTTATGTTAAATTGAAAAGTCTGCCCGATATAAACTATGACCATGGTACAAACAACCCGTGCTGAGGAACACCTTTTAAAGACAATATGGACAATGAAGCAAATGTGATAATAATTTACATTTATTTGTAAGGCGCCTTCCGCTAATGTCTCAAGGCGTGATGAGGCAACTGAGAAACTTTCCAGCTGAAAACTTCAAGAATGGCTTTCCGAAGATAAGCAATCGCTGGCAGCGATGTAACAGCGCCAAAGGAGACTATTTCGAAGGAGACCATCAAATACTACTAATTTCATTATAATCCTGCAATTTCACATGACGCCATATATACAGAGTATATATAGAGTATATATATGAACATCAACAGCTTCTTACTTCGTCTGCTGCTCCTTGCGTTTCTGTATAAGGTATTTTTTCTTGACGTTCTGCAGCTCACGGGACAGCCTCTCCATCTCATATTTGTTCTCCTGGCATTGTGACTCGTACATGTTGAGCTCCGAGGCCAGGCTCTGGTGGATTTGCATACACAAACACACAAAGCGGATACTGGAATAAACACTAAGTTATAAAAAGTAGCCCACTTCTAAGTATTGTAGAATGTTAGCCAGGTTTTAACTACATAAACCACACTCATCATTCCGCTCGATATTGCTGGGCACATTACATTATACAAGCATATCACTTTAGCAACTAGGTATGCAACTGCATAGCCTCGATGCATCACAGCCACCGCTGCACACCATTCAGGAAATGCATGGAAAATTAATTTGAGCCGAGATTCCTACTTTCATCTGCTTGGTTTTCTCACGAAGTGTCTGTTGGTAAATCTGGAGCTGTTCGGCAACCTCCGGGCCGGGTTGGCGAGCCAGGATGTGTTTGAGCTCCACGTACAGCTTCTCTTTTTCCTAGACACACACAAGCACAGGCAGTAACACACTCCATTGAATTGTACATGCACAGCCCATTTATCAGTGCACTGCTGGATGAGTGCCTCTCCGTGCCATGTGGATCGTGGGGGGGGTTATTCAGTGTGGGTTGGTGAAGTTGGGGAGCACAGATGCAGGAGCATAGAAGTATAGTACAATGGATGTTGCCGCACTTCGCTCTGCAGACCGCAACATAGCCCCAGAGCCCCATGACAGCCTGGTGTGCATGTCAAGTCACCCATCCAAGCATCATCTATGCTCAACCCTACATAGAGTCTGAGATCTGATGACACATTCTGGGTAATTTGGTTGAAGGCTTTGATAAATTAGGCACGATTGAAGGTCAGTGCATAAAATATACTGACAATGTTTTGAGTTGTGACCCCATCATAATTTATCCCACCATTAAAAACAATATTACTTCAAGAAAACACAATACACTGTTTCTAATTTAAAACATTTAATTGTGTATGTTCAAGTGTGCATCTGAACAGTCAAGATTAAGTATGCTAGATGATTTCAAACATGACTAATGCTCCATATGAACGTCAGTAACCAAGCAAAATGTGAATATTCTAAAGGATTAGCTATTATCACTGAAAATATGTTGTTTGAAAAACACGTAAATATGGTCATAGCTGTATAACATTCGTTGGGTTTATTTAATGGCTAAAATGTTCTCTCTGGCTTAGGTATTAACTTACTACAGTCAATAAAATCTTACTTCAATTACAACCTGAGACAATATTGAAAATATATTTTTTGTTCTGCACCATCATCTGGAGAGAGCTGCCAAATTAGCCAAGTGCGAAATGAGAAACTTACACTGCATTTGTCAGCTTAGAGACTGCTTAAGCAAGCAAATAAGTACACCGGCTCCGCATGGGCATGAAATGAGAATCCACGAAAGAACTCGCTACGAGCATTTGCATCTGCAGTCCAATGTCCTACGACAGCCCACATGTTAGCAATTCAAGCACGTAGTGGCATCCACCGTCCAGCACCAACCCTTAGCGTTCCCTCCTGGCAAAGTCCCCAAGCAAACTCCTTTCCTTTCTCCGAGTCTCGACAGTAACCATCCATCTAACGCAGCCCCGAAGAGCAGGCCTTTTGTCGATCACACGGCCTCCTCTCCTAGCCATCAGGTTCTCTAGCACAGAGGGCCCGGTACAGGTAGCGAGCCTCACCTTAAGTTTCCTGCAGCAGCATATGATTAGACACGAAGTCATCCTATCAGTACCCCAAGATTCTTGGAAGAAACCTGGTAACCATTGTTATCATGCCTTTATCTAATTGATAACTCATAAGTCAGAAGCCAAGGAGGTGTCAAGGGTGTAGGGAAGACCTGAATGAGCAGCTCCCTCTCGACCACCTCCTCTGTCTTTGTGATGAGTCTCTTTTGCAGCATGTGGATCTTCTGGATCAGCTCGTATGTGCTGGGATCACTTCCCTGTTGGTAGTGGAATACAGTGTTAGACTCTTGATGCTTTAACTATGACCCTCAAGTTCTATATTAAATGTCTGCATTAGTGTAATTGATAAATACAAACTAGGAATGTTATGCATTAATTAACATACATTCTTAAGCTTAGAAAACTTGAAATCGTATTGGCAAGATTACATAATTTACAGTTTATACAATTTTGTGTTTTCATATCAAAAGCAAGAAATGTAAAAAAAGCAAGACCATTAAAATATATAATTTTGTAATTTACATATGAATATAAAAATAATCAAGCAAAGTCTCAAATTAAATCATGAAGTCTTTAGTGCCCAATAATGGTCTCATGTTCATTGACAAAACACACATGAATACATTTTCTAAATAAAACTGGAATTGTGGCTACATCTTATGTTTAGAAAAGATTACCACACAGTACCGAAGTGGCAATGAACCCGGTGTGTAAACCGAACTCTCCGTCAGTGACAAAATGTTTGTTAAATGTAGCCCAAAATAGATTAAAGCAATGGTAATGAAATGTCGCCTAATCCACTACGGTTAAGACGAATGCCTTCGCATATGTAGAGGTGCTAACTACTCACTACTACACATAGGTCAAACTACAATTATTTTCAATTATAAACAGGCATTTCTTGACAGCGACGTTGACCGACTGCGAGGAGTGCTCATGCAAGTAGGGCCCCACCTCCAACTTCCTCCACCGATGGATGTTCATGGGGTTCTCTAGCTCCTCCTCCAGAGCCTTGCAGCGCGTCCTCTCCCTCAAAAGATCACGCTGCATGTGGTACACCTCTCGCCTGCCACACCGTATTGCCGTTGATAGAATACGATACAGTCGGGATTTAGATGGCGGCCAAATGTCACTGCATCCCAAGACGCTGAATAAAAAGAGTTGACATTTATTTTTCAAAGGGAGGGTAATTCAATCAAAGGCAGTGGGAAAGAAGGGAAGTCTTGAGATTGGACTTGAACAGAGTCGACAACACAGATGGATAGGAATAGGAAGTTCCAGACAATGAGGTAGCAGGGGAGAATTAGAGACCTCGGGAGAGGTAGGCTGGGACATTTATTGAAATTTCTTTGAGATTGGATTGTGAGCCGTTGGAGGGACTGGAATATTCGGGTGATGTGGTCTCATCTCTAGGACATATTAAAAAAAGAGCAAATCAGAGAGATGGGTGGGTAACTCAAGGGTAAGAGGATTGACCTAGCACCACTGAGATGGTTGATTCAAATCTGAGCAGTCACTTGTGATTAAACTAGGTTCTCAAGTATAGAACGTGTATGGACTCTGCCCAGTCACCAATAAATGTACTCAAAACACATGACTATAAAATATAGTTTTTAACTTAAATTTCCAACATTTAAGCACTAATAATGAACAAAAAAGATTGAATTCATTGTCATGTGTTTAACTTCTCTATAACAGGGCATGTGAGAACATGTGCTACTTCTAATGTGGATGTTGAGTATCACCTTCTGCTGCCGTTCTCTGACACAGGATAATGCACTGGTCAATGGAAGAGTCACTGAATGTAATGTTCTACTTCTCATAGCACAATTGGAATATATTGCAAAAATAAATATAAAACAATTCAGTCAGGCATAATAACAAAGTATTAATATAATAACCATTGTTATTATATTAATACTTATTTGGAAGTCACGAGTGCTGCAGTCAAGGGCATAAAAGGGCATGCAGATTGTGACAGGACCTTTAATTACTTAGTGTGTGCCCATTAACATTGAGTTACGCAGCCATGTACTTAGAGGACTGTAGCATATGACCACTTTCTAAAATTGGTCAAGCACTACTGTTATTGTGTCGTCCTTAAAGGAAAACAAGATGAAGAGCCCCCGTATAGCCTTAACTGACTTTTGAGGCAAGTGCTGTTAGCGAACACCTATGAAGGCTGGCACGGCACACGAGGGGGTGAGTGGCCAGCATCACGCCCAGCTGCCTTTGTCTGCCGAGTGTCAATTTGAGGCTGAGTCTACGTAGGAGAGGCCCAAGACCAGTTCTCGCCAGGTTCGTAGCTGTATGAACGCTCCTCCTTAAAGGAAAACAAATACCATAAAACAGATAGCTCTATTGTTGTGTATTCCACACTGTTTGAAATGAGTGTTAAGCTTTAATAATAGACAGGCACACAGATATTGAGAGGCACACCAACATAAGACTCTTGTAATGTCAATATGACATCACTCCCTTACATTTTTAATATGTCCAAGTAGTGTTGCCACTATAGTGCTGATGTGGCAAGATAAGACCTCTTTGTTTTTCGGGTTGCATCTCCTTTATGGATGCTTTTACGATGCTACCTGTCAACACTCGTAACATGAATTCATTATGTGTTTATAATTATAGCACTGCGAGACTCATTTTATTGTCTAAGATGATATAAAAGTAGACCACTGTTTTGTGTCTCTACATGTAGATAACAACATTTTATCCAGATACCGATATTGGCCAGCAGCATTTGTTTAAGGAACCAAACTCTGTACCAGTTTCAACCTTCAGGGTCTCAATAACAGAGTCAGGCTTGATAAACAACAAAGCTCAGGTCTCTTGTGTGGCCGTGTGTGACGTAAGGTCCGGTTACTCCACTCAGCACAGGGTATGGCAACGGGGCATGGCAGCGTTACCGGAGGTCCTCGACGTTGGCCGTGCTGCGGGTGAGGATGTTCTTCTCGCGACGCAGCTTGCGGATCTCCAGCTTGAGCAGGCGGATGTCCTCTAGGCGCTGGCGGTACTGCACCTCGCCCTTGTTGAGCGTCGACTGCTGGATCTTGATCTTCTCATACAGCAGAGCCAGCTCATCGTTGCGCCGCACCAGCTGCGTGCCCAGCACGTCGCGCTCCGTCAGGACCTGCGGGGGAAGCAGACAGAGATCGCGTGGCAAGAGGAAACCCGTGAGATAGGATTGTGTGCACATTTTCAATTCTATTTGCGTTGAGGTAGCTCAGAGATCAGAGCGCTGCACTGGAACTGCTGAAATGGTGGGTTCAAACCCTGGCAGCCGTCTGTGATTAAACCTGGTACTCAAGTGTAGTGAGTTTATGGTCTCACCACATTAGTTATTAGATATATAATTACTGTATGACGTGTTTATGCTTCCACGACCAACATCCATAATAGAGGTACAATTCGAGTACAACTTTTCGCCAGTAATTAGAACTAGCATCATCAGGCAACAGCCATATCTGGCTGTCACAAAACGTCGTACTCGAATTGTAAATGTTGTGGGTTTACTTTTCAACACACCGGTGTGCTGTACTAGTAACGAATTGCCATGTTTTGTTTACATGACAAACCTTACTAATTGGTTGTGTAGGGTGGTGGCGGGTTCAACGCAACATTTCTATTTACGCGTCCTAACTAAAAAAACCTCTATGATGGATGTTGATGCTGTTATTACATTTATAGTGCCTTTCTGTCTTGTATATGCACGCTGTCTTTTATAAGGCAAATTAGGTATTAAATGCTAATTAAGAACTTTCATCAACTGTCATTATCAACCAATGCTGACATCTACCAGGGTTGTAGAATTACCTCAAGTTTTTCTGGAGCTACAAGCCACCTCATGTCTGCACGGGCCTTTCGTTAATCACCACTGTACACACCTAACGTAATGAAATTCAGTTATTTGTTGCAACGGTTCCAACCTGATCGAGCTCCTTCTTCTGCCGGAGACGGTCCTGGTCCGCCTCAGATATGATTCGCAGCAGCTTCCGCTCTTCCACCTCCTGCGAGTCGATGAAGGCCTTTGTTTCCGCTGCTTGCTGTTTCATCCGCTGCAGTTCCACCTGAAAGCAACGGCCATGCACTTTTAAATCTAGGTTGAAAACTAATTTCCTGAGAACTGCTTTTTGCGTTTAGTTTGGTGTCCTTCCCCCGCACCTCTGATTAGCACGGTTGGCTACGTACGGTACGAAAGAAGTTCAACATACATAAGCACATTCCACTGGAAACCAATGTGTACATATACAGCCTTTTTGTAAAGCCACTGCTGGATGAGGCCACTCCCCACGTCTGTGCGGGTCGTGAGGGTAATTCTACCATATTTCACCGTTATGGTTAGTGCTGGTGGTGAAGGTGGGAAACAAAGCAATTAATTTACTGCACCGCCCTCTACTGCGCACCACGTGGTACCTGAGGCCCTAAACCAATATATTTGTGCATGGTGGTCACTCATCTAAGCGCTACCCAAGCTCAATCCCACTTAGCTTCCCGAAATTTGAGATTGGCGAGTGATTTGATCATAAGCATAAACCAATCATCATCGTAAAAAAAACAATGCTGCCTAAGAAAATGCTTCTGAATAGTTTCTTACTCACTTGGGAAAACTTAAACATGTAAACATCCATTCCATTATTACCAATCATTCTGTATTTGAAAATAGTTTTCTATATATTGTGCTACATTTGTGTAGTGTAATAACGCAGGCTGCTGACAGAAAGGGGTACTGACAGCAGGAGGCAGTACACACGTCAGCAGGAGGAGATAAAAAGGGAAGCCTAGGACAGGGGTCCATCTGGAACCCGAGAACCCGCTAATAGGTTCTAGAAGGAGGGCGTGGCTAGGGTGGGGCAAGGCCACACCAGGAGGATAATAGGGGGCCCGGGACGGGGGCTCAGGGCTGTTGCTGGGAGTGGACCCCCCTCGCCGTGTCGCTGTTCGTCACCTTCATCGCCGCCGTCTCGACCACCTGAAGACGCCGCTAGCTAGCCTCCCTGTCAACCGTACTAGCTAGGCAGTGCCATCAAGAGACGGATGTGTGACTAGCGTGTAAGCACGTTGGGCGTCTGTAGTTCCCTGACGTGTAAAAATAAAGGTGTCTTAAGAACCTCGTCTCGGAGTGCGTCACTACACTTGTGTTGCATAAGTATGCAACACATATACTTGGAATTGCTTTTAGAAATAGATGTAGGTATGTATCATATGAAATATTGGGACTGCAAAGGCAGTGGTGCACAAGCATATGAATAATTCATGATTTAGGTATCAATTGAATACTGTTCATATCAACAGTCTTCATGTAAAGTGTGATAACCAAATATAATTCATTCCAATTTTTCTGCTCGATTTCTCTTCTCAACATAGGCCTTTGCTTGAAATATTAGCCTATTCTAATATATTTGTGTTTTAATTTAGTGTTAATGAGACGTGGTCTTTTTGTTTGCAAATGTAGAATTGCAAAATGTCGATGCGAGTAGTTTGTTAGGGGTAATTAATCAAGCAACAATCGGCCGGTACATACGAGTACGTCTCACGATGACTGAACAAATCATACCTTGAGGGCTTCTCGCTCCTTCTCCACTCGCTGGTTCTCCATGTGCTCTTTGACCAGCGTCGCCTCTTTGGCCGTGATCTCTTCCTTGAGTTGGTCAATCTGGTGGTTCATTATCTTCAGTTTCCGTTTTGTCTCCGTTATTTCATCCTTCAAAAATGAGATAACATTTTAAGAAATGCTATTGTCATACACACATCCATTAGCATTTCGTTACGTACCATAAACACACATCATAATGCTACGTATTATACGGTTGAAGTAAAATATGTATTTTTTTAGTAGATATACCGATAAAAACAAGCACTATGCCAAAATACAGCTGGCGTGACACAAGGCTGTGCTGCCACAGCTGTTGATAGAAGTCACAAGACCATCATGCACCCGATTGTGTCTTTATAATACATTAATAACATCATGAATGCAACCCTGAGTCACGAGCATTAATGCTCTCGCAGTCACACAAATACCTTTAGAAAATAATTTGGATTATAGGCTGCCTAAAAATATATATATACACCCCCACATATTAGTACATACTTGACCTGCTGTAGAACTGGGTTTACCCACTTCAGACTGCATTTCTCCAACTGCTTCAAAGCTATTAGCTTTGGTTAATGATTTAGAATGCATGACAAACAACCCTGACTAACATTAACTGTTTCTCTCATCTTATCATCAGTCATTGTTTTGCCACTACTGTATCAAGGTCTCTACACACCGGCACAATTACAATCAATAAAAGTGAAATATGGGAAAGGATTGTAGAACTACACAAAGTAAATCACAAAGATAAACACGAGAAAAAAAACAAAAGTAATGTTTGCAAAGTTTGAGAAACTCATTGCTTACAACTTAAAATGTAACCTATCTAAATTAATCAGCTTTTGGGGATGGTGGCGGTATAGGGAGGTCTTAATCCAGCAGTGGATTTATCATGGCTGCTGATGATAAAATAAATCAGCATAACATGACAGTTTTCAAATATAGAGTTAGAATGGAACATAACGGGAAGGGCAAAATATTTCAATATAGGGTGCTCTGAAGGCACTCATGGACAGCAGTGAAACAAAAAGGCTCTCTCGGTTAATGACTATCATGACACGAGTACTCTGCCAGGCAGTGACAGCACCTGTGCCTCGATGAGGTTCTTGCTGTAGAGGTTGCGGTCAGAGCGCACGGCCTCATACAGGTTTTGCTGCTGCTTGAGTTTCGTCTCGGCTTCTGCTATCTTCTTCTTGTAGTCAAAGATCTGCATCTCGCGCACCTTCACATCCTCCATGTGCAGTAGAACCTGAAAGGTTTACACAGGCAACCGCAGACTTCGAGTGAAGCCATCAGCAATCAACTCGGCATCAAGCTTGCTTATTTAGCCACGAGTGGTTCCTAATCCTGGTTTAAGAACGATGGCCAGTCATATTTACTCATTGTAAGTGGTTTGGCAAGAAACATGAGCCTTTCAAGTTGGGTAAAATCCAATAATACAAAGCATGATTAACATGTACATGAACAAATTATGTATCATGCTAAACTGTGCCTGATGTTATACAATTACTTTATATACAATTTAATGACAGTATTTGTGTACAATTAAAATTACTATGCCAAACATTTACTTGCAGTGGTTTACTTCAGTGGAATTCCAGTTCAGCATAGGTGGATATCAAAGTACAAAGCTGTATTATTATTTATTCCATGCATAAATATTACGCATGTAATAATTATCCTATTAATACAAATTTATTATGCTCACGATTCTAGCATCAACATGTGTATTTAAGAATAATGCAATTCATTTTATACTACAGTAGATTCTATACGCACCTCCAGGGTAAAACAGCAAACATTACAAACAAGAAAAACACATTCTAGAATCGAATTGTGCAATCTATACACCGGCATGTGAATTGCCACATGCATAATATTTATAACGCAATTACTGTGAAACTCAAAGAAGTGTGGACTATTCTAGGGTTTGCTTCACTTAAATAAACAGCCGCTAGAAATATTAATCCAGCGTGCCCAACGCTTGACGGACTAAGGGTTATTTTATTTTGGCAATAAGACAAAAGACAGTTAGTTGCACGTTCATGTATTAGTCGAAAATTATTTCACGAGCCCGCCACGGTAGTGAGGGTCCCGTGCAGCATCCACAGCCGTGCCTTTTGCGTGAGGTCGCTGGCCTCGTTGATGTAGCGGTCGCGCTCTTTCTCCAGCTGGAAGATGATCTTGCGCTGCTTCTGGGCCTCGTCCTTGTAATTATGGATCTCCTGCTCCAGGTTGCGCTTGGACTGCTCGTGCAGGCGCACCATGTGCACCTGCTTTTGCGTCTCGCCTGCCGCTTTGCCGATGTTCTGCAATCCACGCAACGGAGCAGTTAAGCAGCTGGCACACACTTAAGCAGTGGCTCTGTGGAATGTAGCATGTCTACTATTGTGCTCGACTAATATGCAGTGTTTTTGGCAGTGTTTTATATTTAATAGCGTACAATATTTAATCACGTACAATGCCAAGTTCAGTTTAGTTTGTCGTCCTTCCCCCCGCACCTCCGATTAGCACTGATGGCTATATACGGTGCGAAAGAAGTTCAACATACATACAAATCGCTTGAATAACTAAATATCTCTTAATGTGCATAACCCTAGGACACGTCTGTTATATCACGAAAAATCAGTTGGGCACATGTTAATCAGAATGCATTGTTGTTGTGTTACACTTTGTATAAGTGTAAGGCATACACTTATACAAACATTATGTACATATTAAGAGTAATTGGTAGTCTGGTGTTCTGACCTTATTCAATAACTCTTTCTCTCGCTGTAGTTCATCAATAACCTTCTTGTCAGCTTCGATCTGTTTTTTTGAAGCCTCGGCCTCTGCACAATAAATGTCAATATTCATAAATATGTTATCATCACTATTGTGAGCCATTACTATTCACTGCTGCATTAAGAACTTTCCATACCATCTCTCATGGTCTTATGATGCCACAATCCATCTCACTCCTGCACATAAAAATTTACTCATTGGTGCATAACTGCAGTGTGTTTGTCCTTTCAAAAATATTTGTTCAAACTAAATTACACTTACAAACATCAACAAATTAGAAGTTATACAGAAATTATGAATAAAAATACATTAAGTCACACAAACATTGTGATAAATTTACATTTGAACTTGTATTTTCAGCACACTAACTGTTGAGTAATTTACAATTCACACGACAACTTGCGTAGTTTATGACTGAAGCCTAAACAATAATTATAATTTTCTTTTCATCAAAAGAACAGATGAAAATACCAATTGAAACTGGTTGGCTGACGACCAATATGACAGACTGTCAAACTCTACATATTCCTACAAGCTAAAATTAGCTCAGCTAACAGAGATCCTGGTGAAGCAATTTAGATTTAGAGAGGAAACAGGATACAAACCTTTCTCCATTCTAGAAATCTGGTTTTTCAAAATCTCTCTCTGTTGCTCCACCTCCGTCTTTTGGTCCTCAACCTGACGCAGCTTCTTTTGTGTCATCTCTCGCATCTTGGTGAGCCGAGTGATCTCATGCTTCATCTGGAACACTTCATCCTCCCGAGCCTGTCCATTAAGAGTAGACAGATTGAGAATCATCGTCTGTATGTCTTGAAACTTAACATTGGGGTATCCTCATTTACGTACGGTGCGAAAGAAATGCAACGTTATGATTTATTGTATTTTTAAAATATAAATATTTTGCCTAAAATGTAAATAAACAAACAAGGCAGTGACAATGGATTGCATCAATTATAATGTAAAAAGTGATGTGGCTATAATCCACAATATAATTATGATAAAATATTCAGGGAACAAAGATTTGGTCCAATGTTGTGTTATGGGGCCCTCTGCTGGAGAGTACGATGACACAAATAAGTGCAATCCACTGAACGTTTCTAATAAAAGGAGAAACGTCTTCCGGCTTATATACATTTTACATGTGCCAATACCTTTCTTCGTACACTTCTTTACAAACAATTAAAAAAATAGTGTGACAGCTCTCCAGTTTTAGATAATTCCCGTGGGATAAACTTATCACATCTTCAGATTACAATGTGGCGAGCAAGCAGCACGTACTTTTAGTTCAGCAGAACTCTGCTGGTTCTCTTGTGCCAGCTGATCTACCAACATGACCTTCTGGTCGTACTCTTGCTGCAGCTTCATGGATCTGGCCTTCAGGCTTTCACTTTCCTTGATTGTTCGCTCATTTTGTATCTACGGCACACAGACAGACAACACGCACGCGATAAATTACACTAAATAAAAAATGATGGACATGAATTAAATGTGTCCGATACAAAATGCAACAATCTCTCTGGCATAGTTAAAAAGTAACAACAAAGTGGACCAGCAAAGGGTCATTAAACAGTCAACCGGGGATGAAAGCATCATTTAAGTATAGTTGCTGTGCTCATTATGAGGTATTTATAGTGTTGGCATGAGTGCTTTTCTCTCAATAATTTTTGAAGTAAAACAATCATTTCCTTCCCATCTTTGAAAAGTTGTTTTCCTTTGACCAAATTTGAATTCCCATTGTGTTATATTTGCAATGTCATGGGGCAAAGTGTCCATTTGAATATTTCTCAGAGAAGTGCAATCCTTCGTGTTTGAGAACGGCCCATGGATTTTAGGCAAATTAAATGTGGAACCGACATTTATTTCGATGGACTAAGACCAACTCACTACGCAGGTCTGGATTTGAACCCAGGATCTAATAGGTTCCAGCTCAGCGCTCTGGCCTGTGAACCACACAGCCAAAGCCTTACGTTCTGGTCTTTAAGCTGCTGCTCCTGCCTCTGTAGCTCATCCTTGCTGCGCTGCAGATGGCCCTGCAGATTCTTGTTCTCAGCATGCTTGTTGTCTATATCCATCTGCATCTGCTTAACCTCCCGCTCCAGCTTCTCCTTGCGACGAGTCTCCCGCATTATGTCATTCTGTCGCATCTGGATGTCTTGCTGAAGCTGTGGTGGGAGATACGACAAAATATTTAAACCAGGTTTCCTTTGCAAGAGACCATGAAGTTAATGAACTCTTGAAACCCCACAAATCGTTAAGCGTCATGCACACTTCTATTGCCACACATTACAATTATTTAATACACGATATTAAAAACTCAAACATGTCAAGGTTAAAAGAGTCTAACTCAAAATGTGTATAAAAAAATATTTACTTTCATTAATTTAACATCTCAATGTGTTTAAAATTATAACCCTCTTTTTCGACCTTTTCTGTCCAACATTTTGAGTTGCTCCAATATTTAAAAATAACTTTACAGCTCTTATGCAATCTGCAGCTGGATGAAAGCTTCCTCATGCCATATTGGTCTTGGAGGTTATTTGACCATACTTCACAATGCTGCTCAGTATAGGTTTGTTAAGGTGGTTGGGGCGGGGAGTGCTTACCACTGCACCACTACTTCTCCTTTGGCAAAAACCGAAAATGAAAACATTACTTGGAAGATTGTTTTTAAACGAGCAGGTGAATTGCATCCCATGAACGTAGCTGCGTGTTTTTGAGCAATCTGTCTCAGAACGATGTGATAGTTGCCTTACCTCGGAAATGGTTTGTTCAACCTCAGTCATATCCTGCTCCATCTTCTGCTGCTGGGTGGTTGCCTGTGCAAGATCCTCACGGAGCCTCACCACATCAGACAGCAGCCCATCCCTCTCCTTCGTCAAATCCTCTTTGGCTTTTAGCAGATCGTTTAAGCTGAGGACACACGGGGCACACAAGAAACGTATGTCAAACATTTACATCATTTCAGAAACGTTATGTGTTATGCCTCCATTAATATTTGAAATGTTAGGCATATAAAATACTGCATTGCTTGCGCTTTGATGAATTGACACAATTGTGAGTCGTGCTTTCATTCCACAAACAATACTTTTTTGCCATTTTGGTAAATGTAGCGCCTCTAGTGGCTGCAGGGTTTACAGAAACCAATTGCAACAAGAGTGATAACTAAACTATTTATACATACACAATTTAGTACACATTTATACATACACAATTTAGTACACATGAGTGTAAGAATACACTTTAATACCTAAATCCAGAAGTAAATGCATGACTATTACAGTACATCTATATGCAGCATTCAAAATAAACAATTGAACAGTGCATTCAATTGTTTGTCATCTTTACAACTTACCACTGTACGGTCAAATGTTGTCATTTGTTTCATGCTTTACACAAATGCGAGCTTAAATTACAGTATTAAATTTCAACGTGATAAACAGGACAAGCACTGAGTACCAGTGGTCGGGGACGGTCAAGAGTGGTTGTCCGACAAAGCGAGTGATCCACGCCATCAGACATTGTGGAGATTCCACAACTTAGTCAATGCCAATGAGCACTGCTCAATCCTTTGTTTCAATATAGGGATACACTGTGAACACGTTCCGAGCATAGGTGGACTCGTCCGTCTGAACAACCGCCAGGTGCTGTCCGTGGTGCTAACGTTAAGAAAAAAAACGCCAATTTTTTCAAATTTTCTTGCCGTAGTTTTCACACCTGGTGATGATTGCTTGTGTTGCAATCGAAACGTCGTGAGAATTTTATTGTTTGATATTTTATTATTTTATTATTCCCCTTTCTACGTGACTTTACCGAAAGAAACAAGAATATGAATCCCTGCAGTCACGAAAGCTTTAAAACGACTAACAATGTTAACCACGAGTCACAGTCATCAATATTCCCTATGAATGCCTGACTGTTGCCTTATCTACTTGTATTCCTGTCCTTGAGAAATGCCGGCTCCTTGCTCGACCATCTTGGCCAGGTTTGTGATCTCTTGCTTGAGGGTCTGGATGGTCTCTTTGGCCCTCTGCTCCTTCTCATGGGCTGCGTCCACCATCTTCCAAGCTTTCTCAATTTCCTTCAAGCAAACACAGACAATGAATTATAAAAGTTGGTCACTGGGTCTTTATAATTCAATTCAAAGCAGGCAGCAAGCTATATAAATCCCCCAAAGCATAATCGTGCAATCCACCACGAGACTATGCATTAATATGACTTTTCTCAAAACTTGAATGAGGCAACAAATATCAATAGTTGATTCCAGGGAAATATCTTCCTTTTCCAAAACATACTGATTTAATTGAAGGGAAGATGATAAATGGATAAAACACAATCAGCATATGTTCACTTGAGCCCTGCAATACAAATTGCCGTGTATCAGTTTAGTAGAACTTACTCCAATCATAACATATAATTTGTATGACATCAGTTTAGCTCTTGCACAATGTATTACCAGTGAGGCAGCAAATAACCAGTAGGAGGCAGTACATCAAGTAGCTTGCTTAATATTGCTGCAGTCCTAGTGTTATCCCCTCATATGGGTGGGTTTTCTTTTGTCACTCCAGTTTCCTCCCACATAAAATACACACCTTACAAAAGCACTTACAGTGAGGGAAAAAAGTATTTGATCCCCCGCTCATTTTGTACGTATGCCCACTGACAAAGAAATGATCAGTCTATAATTTTAATGGTAGGTTTATTTGAACAGTGAGAGACAGAATAACAACAACAAAATCCAGAAAAACGCATGTCAAAAATGTTCTAAATTGATTGGCATTTTAATGAGGGAAATAAGTATTTGACCCCTCTGCAAAACATGACTTAGTACTTGGTGGCAAAACCCTTGTTGGCAATCACAGAGGTCAGACGTTTCTTGTAGTTGGCCACCAGGTTTGCACACATCTCAGGAGGGATTTTGTCCCACTCCTCTTTGCAGATCTTCTCCAAGTCATTAAGGTTTCGAGGCTGACGTTTGGCAACTCGAACCTTCAGCTCTCTCCACAGATTTTCTATGGAATTAAGGGCTGGAGACTGGCTAGGCCACTCCAGGACCTTAATGTGCTTCTTCTTGAGCCACTCCTTTGTGGGTGTTCTCCCAATACTCTAGTTTCCTACCACAAGCAAACCGCTACAAATAAATTAGCCAAACTATCTAAAGCAGGAACTTAGTAAAAGTGTCCTTGAAAATCACACGAACATCCTTGGCTTAACAAATGATTATTATTCATGACGCACCATTCCACAACAACAAAAATAGGATACAATTTCAGTAATTTCTAAAGCAGGGATTTTAGCTGTCAGTGATGGAAGTGCATTCCACATTTGATTAATTTATCGGCATCGGAAAGCTATGAGCACATTCCTGACCAAGGTCGCTCAGTGGCTCAGAGGTCAGAGTGCTGAGCTGGCATCCCTGAGATCCTGGGCTCGAATCCAGGCAGCTACTTGTGATTAAATGGGCTCTCAAAGTGTAATAAGTTGATTTTCTCAGCCTCATCACCAATGAATGTACTTAATTTGGCATTTTGGCTGTCATGCGCTCTCATGTGGGAAAATCCTGCCCTCTACAATATGAATCAAGCCACTTGAAGGTATCCCAGAAGGAGCTCTATGGTATCCAATTCAGTGGCCCATTTTATCCCATTAAAGCATTGCTCTGTGAGAGATCCGAACAGTTCCTTCGGCTCACGACATGATGCCGATAACACAATCGGATTACATTTTGGGGGATTTTTTTAAGTTTTAAGATGTTGCTGACCTTCTTGAGGGAAGCGATGCTGGCCTGATCCTCCTGCGAAAGCTTGAGGGCGGTGGACACCTTGGCAGAGTTGGCGACAATCTCGGCGTTCAGTTCACGGCACTTGGTCATTAGGCGCTTCTCGTTGTCGTGGGACTTCTTTAGGGCGCGGTGCAGCTTCTCGTACTCATCGCGGAACTTTTCCAGGCTCTTGTCGCCTGTCAGCTCGCTCAGCACCTCCTGGAAGTCCCTCTCCAGCGACTCGAACGTGCCCTCGTCGCCAACAACAGGGGGAGCCTTCTCTTTCTCCATCTCTATTTCCTGCGTGCACACATGGTCACTCGGTTTCAAAAATGGGCTTTGGTTTTGTTCGATTACAGGCTGTTTATTTTTTAACGAGTATAAAGTTGGTGTAGTTTATAGGACCAGGGTTAACTTACTCACTGAATATTGGTTGCATCACTAGGAGACTGGAGTACACACGTGACTAGTAATAACAGCACTTTAATATTGAGACGTAGACTGGATACGGTGTGCCAGGAACTATTATCTGGGTTGCTAACCAGGACAGACTCAAATGAAATTAAGCCCTGACAGTTAAAACCTATACTTTTTAATATATATGAACCAGCTGTGTGCACCATTTACTTATGTGATCTATTGCGACGTGATGCTCGCGCGGGCTTGCTTAGCTGTCTTGTTTCCTGTTCTTGGCACAGTGTAAATGTAACCTATTCTAAAAAATATATCCTGTATAAGATGTAGATTTTAAAATGTATGTATATGCGTCATTGCTATATATGTATCACTTGATACCCTGGACACCCTTCGAAATGAGATATTCCATCTCAAGAGATCATCCAGGTCAAATATTCCGATACATTTTTTAATTTATAATTTTCAGCCCTGTGACAACCCCCATGCTGTATGAAGGCCTCCTGATGTCGGTTCGGTTAAAGGGGTTGTGTAACCCTACTTCATTGGGTTCATAAAAGAGTGCCCGGACCCGGTGCGCCACTCTTTAATACACTGTCCAGGATGATTGATACCCGACTGATTTCTAATGACACTCTTATTTTCTTCTCAACAGGCGGCTGAATACCGTTACATTGATGGCTCCATATCTTCCAATGGAGTGAATTCAACTATTTCATATGTGAATTGAGATTGGTGGGAGACATGTAGAGGCATTGCAATATAATTTCTCCCTATTGTTTTCACGGGGATTTATATGAATAGATAATCCCGAATATCCCACTTAACACCCAGACTAATATCTGCATTTCCCTATCACAAATAATGCATTTAGTTTCGGGTGAACTGCATTTGTGGATGGAGTCATTTCTACTCTTCGTTTGGAAACGAAATTTTCTTTATTGTAATTGCATAAGCGGATTCCATACATTCTCCTAATTCTTAAGGGTAAAGTAAGTGGGTGAGAATGAGAATAGTTGCATTTGTTGCACTTATGCTACGTTTAGAGTATTTATTACGTGGTGATGCTGCTGCTCCAGCGTTGGGAGTGGTGTACAAGCAGAGTTCACAACAAACTACTCGACACATCCGTCAACAACAACAACAGTGTGTGTGTGTGTGCCCTTAGCGACGTTTCGGGCAATGGCTCTTCATAGAACAATTAATAATAATAGTGTAAACAGAGTGAGTTGTAAAATGGTTCATGTGTGAAGCTGAAGAAGGAAATACACATTTCACATAGCAGCAGCAGAAGAAGAAGAGCTGATGCAGGCACTATTTGGACACACACACATGTGTGGAATGGACAAGAACAGGACAATTGAAAGTGCGTCGTCATTCGGTCGAAATGGAAGGAAGGGGAAAGAGAGGAAGACCTAACAGAGAATGTCTTCACGACATCACAGCAGATCTGTGCCAGAATGATGTTGAAACAAATGACGAAATGTGCAGGTGGAAGGACACCTTACGGGCTTATCTGCCCTATGGATCGTAATGATGATGATGGTGGTGGTGGTAGTTTAGACAGATGAAGACACTTTTTTTAATATATATCGTTTCCAATGGAGACCTGAGATTGGAGTACCGGTGAAATTTGTATGAAGTGTGCTAAATAGTTAAATATTCCAGAACACAAGTCAATTAATATAAATATAAATCAATACAACGTGTATCGTACATTTATCGATGTTGTGACGATTTGACTTATAGGACTGGTGAAAATGCGCAAGTATTGAATTATGTTTGAAAGATGACTGATGGATTTGGTAAAAACAAATCTTAAAACTGTTTTTTTTCTAAATTGGTCGAAACACATTGAATATATTAACTGTATTAACCTACATTGAGGTTAACCTTCCACAGCTGAAATATTCGCAATGTTACAGTAGTATATGCACAAAAAATATTTTAAAAACTAACAGTACAACGTGTATTGGCATTACTGAACCGCAATATTAAATTAATGTGATCCTTGATATATAAATAACGAGTACGTACCTCTTCCATAGCTGACCCCGTATACACAACACTGTACTTATACAAATAATATTAATCTTGTTGGTAAAAAAAAAAGAAATTACTTGACACAATGAAAACCATAGAAATGTTAAGTGGCTGAACGAAGGCTTCGGTTTGCACCGGGGCCTGTTGGGCGCGTTGCCATGGAGACATAAACAACGCGGTTATCTCGCGAGACTAGCCCCCGCCTCTCGCGAGATCTCGGCCACGCGTTCGAGGTCAGGCTCCTGGGGGACTCCACGTGGCGAGAGGCAAATTGAAGACCTGGAGACCTTTGTGGCATTTCAACGGAAGTTATTCCATTTGCCCTTTGACAACATCACCCGACATGTGCCCATCCAAAACCAAGATTTGAGACTGGGCAGTGCGCGTCTGGGTGACCACCATGCACAACAACAACAACAACCGCCATTCACCACTAAGTGGCGGTGACGTCACCACGACGCTTGTGCCAGGCCATGTGCACCTTGAGGCCACGTGAAGTGTCGAACGCCCGCTGGCAGGAGGTCACGGGGCAGACCCAGGTGCCACGGGTCGACTGACTGAGATGACTGGCTGATGCACCACCTGTGCCCCCTACTGTGCCAACCTGCTGTGCTTTAGCCACCCGACGCTCCGCTCGTTGTTCTGAGCGTCGCTCCTCCGCCCTCCGTTGTTGTTGGAGGGCGACTGCCTCCAACTGCACAGTAGCGTCCTTCACGAGCCTCCTGCACAGAGGCCGATCTTGACACCGCTGGTACCAGTCATCGGCAAGTCCACTCAGCTCCACGTCCTCCTGTACCACATCACTCCATCTCTTCTCTAGCCCGTGCCGCGCCCGTTTAGCCCCCTCGATCCGGCCGAACAAAAGCTGTTTCGGCATGCGGTGGCTGGGCATGCGGGCTACATGACCCAGCCATCGCAGCCTTGCCCGCCGGAGGAGCTCACCGATGGGACCTTGCCCAGATCTTTCAAGGATTTGTGAGCTCCTCACACAATCCAGCCTGGTTAAACCCAGGATGGATCGTAGGCAGGCCAGCCTAAATGTTTCCAACTGGCGAAGATGTTCCACACACACACAGGTGGTGTGTCATTGGGCTGCGGTCGTCTCGGTCAGTCAACCCATGTGGCACCTGGGTCCGTCCTGTGACCCCCTGTCAGTGAGCCTTCGACACTTCACGTGGCCTCAAAGTGCACCTGGCCTGGCACAGGCGCCGTGGTGACGTCGCATTCACTTAGGGGCCGTCCATAAATGACGTCACGCACCTGGGGGGCGGGGGGGGGTCAGACATTTGTGACGCTGTGTGACGAGGGGGGGGGGTTTGAGAAATGTGACGTCACATCAAAATGCGCAACTTTAAATACATATAGACAACACGTTCTACTTAATTAAATAGACTTTTTAATAAATGTTGTCTCCTACAACATCAGAGTGCAGCGCCACATTAAATACGCATTACAATGACAATAGTTTAAAGAGATTTTAAGCATGTGGTTTTTTTTGGGGGGGGGGGCAGAGCTTTGTGACGTCATATTTGAGGGGGGGGGTCTGACTTTTTGTGACGCCGTGTGACGAGGGGTGGGGGGGTCAAAAATCGCCCAAAATCGCGTGACGTCATTTATGGACGGCCCCTTGGTATTGATGTGATGTGTTTCAGCGGAGGGTTAGCGCAACAACTTACATTGCAATCTTGATTTGACTTCCATTGCGCTGGTAGTTTTCTCCCACGTCTATGCTCCTCGCCCGCCTTCATCCAACCCGCACTGACCAGCGTGGAAGTTTGTCGACTGACCCGTCATGGATTGGGAAGGCCCTCATACAGCAGTGGTTTGACGAGCTGACTTTACGTGGACATAATTAGGTGGTGTCTCATGGAGGCTCGGCTTTTGGCGAACTCCCATGCAGCAGTGGATCGACGACAGGCTGTAGAGAAGAAAAAAAACGTATCTATTGCGGTCGTTTTGCCAGTATCAAAGTGTGAAAAATAATCGGGGTTACCTTTCTGGCAATAAAGCAGGAAGTGTTAAGATGTTTATACACCAAGTGGATACCTTTTGCGAGGCATCAAATCTGCATGAACCGCATGTACTTGTGTGGTTTGCATGTTTTGCCACAGGTTAATGCAGACTTGATGCCTTGCATAAGCTATCTATTTAGTGTTTGAACATCTTAACACTTCCTGTTTTATTGCCAGAAAGGGGTGCAACGCCTATTATCTTTCGTGCTATAAAAACGTAATTTGCCAGTTATACTCTGAGTACATGTTATGAATCGGAAGTTCAGAGAGGCAAGCTATCGTGCCACCCACCTTAATGAGATGTACTGGTGAAGAAGTTGAGTTGTGCCGGCCCTTCGCAATGGCATAAACTTCAAGACGTAGCAAGATGTCATCAGCATGGCCACAGCAGTTGTCACCAAGAACAGGCCGCGATAAGTTTAACAATTACAGACATAAATATCACTGTGCAGCACTTCAATACAGTATGCGTCTGCATTGAAATAATTGGAAATAATTGAACACGAGCAGAAGCTTTTAAACGATACCAAACGCCCCATAGAGGCAGTCCCACTTTCCAATGTGGACAATGACATTTGCGTCTCGCTTACAAATTATGACTTTTGTTGTTGTCCCGGATAAACTTGCGAATTCTGCCCAGCACACCACCGATTGGTGGCAATCGGCCCGGATATGGCGCTATCTACAGCTCTGGTTGCCAACCTTCCCAGATTGGCCCCAGGAGTCTTTATCAGAATTGGCATCGACCTCCCGGTAACTATTGAAAGCAATCCGGGAGATTTTAAGGGGATATTTTAAGAGCATAAAAAAAATCTTCCTGAATAGCTTCAGAGTTGGAAACTCGACCCACAGCAGAAGCTTGTGATTGACTTACACAGTCAACCAATTATGAGACCATGGAGGTGGAAAAGGATGTAAAGTTACCATTCTTGGATGTTTTAATCGAAAAGAAACCAGATGGCTCAATGGGACACTGTCTACAGGAAAGCCACCCATATGGATGCCTATCTAAAACCTGACTCCCACCACCATCCAGCCCAGAAGAATTCCCTCACCGAAACTCTACACCATCGATGAATTTCCGACCATCACCACCTAGCCAGTGAACTGGAGCACGTTCACCAAGCCCTCCAGATGAATGGATATTCAGACTACACAATCCGTAAAGCTTTCGATTTAACAGAGTACATTAAATTCGTGATCTGATCCCATCTGTGAAGGATGTGATCCCTGACATGTAATACCCCGGTGTCTACAAACTAAGCTGTCTGCGGCAGTAGTTACATTGGGGAAACTAAGCGACATGTCTCGGACCGTGCTCGTGAACACAAGGCAGATCTGAAACACTGTAGGACCAATACCTCGGCCATGGCTGATCATTGTTTTAACGCTGTGAGCACACACGAAATAGATTTTTCCAAGACGAGGGCACTCTGCAAACCCACTGGCTATCAACACAGATCGGTTCATGAAGCCATCCAGATATATAAACACAGACACAATTTCAACCGAGAAGATGGGTACAAAATGAGCAATCATTGGAAGGACGTTATTAACCAGTTTAAGTCATAACTGGCTGTGATGTTTCTATCCTACCTGGCGATGTTCGCAGTTATTTCCGATTCTCTGAGTTACATTACCAGGTTAAGTCTTTACATTAATAGGCTAAATGTCTCATTAACACAGCCACCATTGCGGTGGTTCTCTTACATTGACATGCTAATCTCTCACAATACAATGGCCACCTCCACAGCTTCGTAGTCGTGAAGGTATATCAGCTCTCCGATCTTACATTTACGCGCACATTCCATCTCTAGCCCCGCCCACTTACCCTTGGGCTACGCCCATCTCAAACCTATATAACATCCTTCTTCAGCAGCTCTCCGATCTTACATTGACATGCAAATTCGTCTCTAGCCCCGCCCACTTACCCTTGGGCTACACCCATCTCAAACCTTTATAACATCCTGCTTTAGCAGCTCTCACGCTATATTTGTTTCCTGCCTCAGCAGTTCTCCCGCTATATTTTTTCACCTGATGACGATTGCTTGTGTTGCGATCGAAACGTCGTGATATTTTTTATTATTTTTCTATCTACGTGGCTTTACCGAAAGACCAAAAGAATAACAATTATGAGACGTTTGGCCACTGAAGACAATACATTATCAGTGCAATACAAGTTTGCATATAACAACACTACTAACAATTACAGCTTATATACCGCCTTTCAAGTCTGTGTGGATTGTACTTAGGATTCTCGGTCACTCTGTGTGCTTTAATCTTGATTTGAAGCTTTCGTGACTGCAGGAATCCATACTCTCTGGTTCTTACCGAAAGAACAAAGTCTGTGTGCTTTTAAAAGAAAACCTTTTTTCCCCTTTTTTGTTCATAAAACAATGTCACTTTTTATTGTTTTATATTTTTATTATTTTATTGCTTCCCCTCTACGTGACTTTACCGAAAGAACCAAGAATATGAATCCCTGCAGTCACGAAAGCTTTAAATCAAAATTTAATGTCACTTTTGCACATATTAGCACAGTTGGCTACGTACGGTGCGAAATAAGTTATATATTCATGTGAAACGTGGACTGATACTTGCCGTGTTGTATCACTACCTATGTAATCGTGCTTGTGTAACTAAGATCTGTGCTACATCATTTTCATATCGTCACAATGGAGCCTTGAAACTCAGTTTTCAGTTTCATTTATTAGGTACAGTGAGGGAAAAAAGTATTTGATCCCTTGCTGATTTTGTACGTTTGCCCACTGACAAAGAAATGATCAGTCTATAATTTTAATGGTAGGTTTATTTGAACAGTGAGAGACAGAATCACAACAAAATCCAGAAAAACGCATGTCAAAAATGTTATAAATTGATTTGCATTTTAATGAGGGAAATAAGTATTTGACCCCCTCTCAATCAGAAAGATTTCTGGCTCCCAGGTGTCTTTTTTACAGGTAACGAGCTGAGATTAGGAGCACACTTTTAAAGGGAGTGCTCCTAATCTCAGCTTGTTACCTGTATAAAAGACACCTGTCCACAGAAGCAATCAATCAATCAGATTCCAAACTCTCCACCATGGCCAAGACCAAAGAGCTCTCAAAGGATGTCAGGGACAAGATTGTAGACCTACACAAGGCTGGAATGGGCTACAAGACCATTGCCAAGCA